ATAATGAAAATGTTAGTGATTTTCAAAAGTTTATGGGGAAGTCCCAATTGTATATAAGTCAAATAAGCATTGTAAATTTCTAAAGAATCTGCACAATCTTTGTACTAACTTTTTCTGAATGGTTGAAGGACAAAGAATAAATAGACGTAATAGTCTATTTGACAGAATGCATACTTGGCACACTTAACGAATATAAAAATTGTATTTTCGCAAGCCTCACTATCATTGTAAGGCCTCACTATCATTGTAAGTGATATTCATGTAGACTTATATATATGAATCGTTTGAACATAACAAGGATGCATATTTTTATACCTCCTAGAACAAACTATCATAGAATGTATTAGCGATAATTCCCCCAACAACTGATACGGTACTTGTTCCTATGTTCATTTAGAATCACTGAGCCATAAATAATGACTTCAATATATAACTACAATATCATGACATTTTGACATGTTCAGACGTATTAGAATGTTTTATAGGATTATATACGTAAACTCTAAACGTACACATGTATTCATAAAACATTACAGTAAGACAGTTTAGAGTTTATATCTTCGTGTGTAACATTTATATAGGCCTAAATGTATCTCTTCAGAGATCCAGTCACTTACCTAGTACGTAAATACATATAATGTCTATACTTGCGTAGATTCCACAACCGCATAATAATGATAGTATATGCATGAGCGAAATGCTAGCAACAACAACAAAATACAAAAAAAAAAACTAATAATACAAAAATATAGAACACGTTGTTTTAAAGATATTTCAATTCATGGCTGCCTGAAGAACATGTAATGGAACTTCCCGCAGTCCCACCCTTTCGATATAGTAAGTTGTTAAGGTCCCACGGAAGATACCGTTGTATACCCAGGGAACAGTTAAATTACTGGTAAACCGTGCGTTTCTAGTACACACGTCTGTTTGTGGGACAAGCGCGTATTTTTAGCAATGTTTTCATTTATTCAATATCAGGGTAAAAGCAATACGAGACAAAAAATACAAATTGAGATGTGCATTACCCGAGGATTGCCAAAAGTGGAAGCACTATCAAGTGAAATGTTCTGATTGGTCAGTTCGATTGACACTCTAGAAAGGTCCATAGACTGAATTGTAATTTTAATCAAATCATCTGTAATTTCCAAATGTGTGTGTTTATATTTTAATTAAATAAATCGTTTTATGGAACAAACAAACCATGAAGACCTATGTAATAATTAATTGGGGACAATTTGTTTTAGTTAGGTCTAGAAAATTTTGTCATTGGATGATTAAAATTGTACGGTAGTCATTAGGGAGTTTTCGTAACCTTACGAAGCCGATAACGAATACGTCATTATCATCGTCATTCGTGCCTAAAACATTCTTGACAATATGTTGTACGATCTGAATTTGATGCTTGATTCATGCAACAGGCTTGAATCGACTACGCTTGACAACCTACTGTAGGGGAAGGGTTGTCTACAATTTGATGACGTAACCGTATTTGTTTAAGCTTGCGAAAACTCCCTATTGCGTAATATAATATACTGAATTTATATTTTGGTAAAAGTAGAGGTAAGTATGAATAAACATGGCCCAATATGCGTAAAACGATTAGGCGTGGGGTATAAGATGGTCACTCGATTTTACCCAAAATGCAATAGGAATTAAGGTGGTCACTGTGTCTCAATTTATGCAGTTCAGTTAAGTGTGGCTTAGCAAGCCACTTTGAGAGGCATTTGAAGTACTGTAAAGCCCTACCTCAAAAAGGACTTACTTTATTGGATATCAGATCAATCAGCTATAACGGTCGGAATGACACGGTACAGTATTTCCCTTGTCATATTTTTCGATCCTTTCCTAAAACAATAAAACATGCTTATGCATGGGTGTACAGCCATTTTAAATTGTGGGAAATTTCCATATTTTTAGAACTCAGAGTCTAAAATTGTTTCGTACAAAACACAGCAATATACCAGTAATTTACTGGCATTAGATCCTTTGTTATTAAAATAGAGCACCTATTAAATCACCTACACCGTCATATTTCTTCAGCAAATATCTCGTAAAATTGTCGGAGTACGTTTTGATTAAATGCCAAATTATTTCAATAAACAACTCATATCTCAACATTATCACAAGAGTAAACTAAACACGTAAGTTTTTCCTTTCTAATTCATTTAATTATTTAATTGATTATAGTCACGTCCTAAACATAACAAAACAAATAAGGTATTATGATTAATATTTTCCTGATTTCCTTATAGTAGTATAATTATTAGTTTAGCTTATCTGTATCAAGCCAGGCTCGTGCAGGCTCAGCATTTTTGTACCTTGTCTGTGGACGTGGTCTGAGCTTCAAGCATCGATTGCATTATTAAAAGCCATATTTCAATACTTTCCCTGTTTCAAAATGTAAGACTATGAAGCTGAAATCTCTAAAACAGCCTGAACGTTGTGGATAATGTGGTATTATGATTACGTTTCATGGCCGGAATGAAATCTGCTGAAAATTCAACACTAGGTCTGAATCTGTATATCGACATAATCTATGCCACCAGATTTCCTCGTAGGCCTGTGCTCCGTAATTACAGGAGTGCCTCACAACAAAGTTCATATAGAATTAAAATTAAAATTACATTATATAAAATATAGGCATATGAATACAAAATTATGAAAAAGGAACTTATTAAGTGTATTATCGTTCCTTGTTTGAACTCTAAACCTTGCATGTTATCTGGCCTACAGTTCTTTTTTAAAGATAGTAAAGAGTGAGCATATTTATAACAATTAAGCTCATGTGAACTTTACAAAATGAATGTTAACATTACAAATAGACCAATAAACCATACTGTGAAGATGATTGTAACTGTTCACCTGGTTTGTAGAATGATAGATTGTTCAACTGTCAATGTAATTTTCCATTCAAGTTTTAATTTCTCGGTTTGGAAAAAAGAAATACTCAATCTTATATTATATTCTTATTTCAATCAAGATATTATGTTATGAAAACCTCCAAACAAATTATATAATATTTTCAATTACAGTTTCCCATGTCAGGGCAAACAGATGTTACGAGGGTAATGTTATGGTGTCCGCCACGTTCCCTATCAACAGCGTTCGAGCGGTGTATAAGCGGCGGAACAAAACACAAAGTAAAAGTTTACCACGAACTATTCACTACGTCTTACCATATTGGACCAGAAAAACAAATCAGTTACCCAATACCACTGCCTTTTGGTGGAGTTTTGGAAGAAACGTATTCGTATCAGTGGGTGAAAGACTGTTTAGAGGGCCCCAGTGACGCGGACTTTGTGTTTGCTAAGGATTTGGCTTATGCTGTTGAAGGACGTTATGAATATCTGCCAGAGGACTTTATACACACGTTTCTCATTCGCCACCCAGCGAAGGTGTTTTTATCTTATGAAACACTTATGGCAAAATTTCCAGCATCTCTTATAGGAATGTCATTCACAGACATCCTTCCAAAGGGATATGTGTTTAAGGAATTGTATGAGTTATTTCATTACATCCAAACGACCCTTGGCCAGAAGGCCATAGTGATCGACGCTGATGACCTTTTACAGAAACCCGTCCAGACTTTGGAAAAGTACTGTAGTGAGATAGGAATGAAATATAGTGACGGTATGCTAAACTGGGGAAAATTCCAGCCCGATGATTGGACATTTTCTGAAAACATGATGTGGATTAACAGGATTATTGGCCAGTATGATAAGGCATTTTCAACAAAAAAATTACTAGGTTCCACCGATAAACCAATTGACGTCTCAAGTGTTTCAGAAACTGTTATGCAGGCTGTAAAATACTGCATTCCGTATTACGAAAAAATGTACACACATTCATTGAAGCCCTACATGAAAAGTTAACGAGGGCGTGTGACAAGGGATGGGAGCTTTCACCTCACTTCTTACTTTTAGCATGCAAATTGCAAATCAAGTTTTATCTAATAGGAGTGCTTTCAATAGGAAAAAAGACTAGTAAATTAGAAAGAATTACAGAAAAATGATTTGATGTAACTTGTTAATATTCCACTTCCGTGAGACATGACATAGGTAGGCAAGGAAATACAGAAAATGAACAGGTAGGCAAGGAAATACGAAAAAGGAACAGAGCAAAAAAAAAAACAAAAAAAACAAAAAACAAAAACAAAAAAAAAAACAAGAGAAAGAAAAAAAAAAGGAAACTATTAAACTATTATAAAGAGGTCAACATTTTGGGTCTGTAACTCTAATATTGTGTTAACAAACAGTGGCGGCGCTAGAATTTCCCCGAAGTGGGGGGGGGGAGGGGCGGAGGGGGGGGGGGGGGTGAAGGGGCTGATTACCTTGACGAGAGCAAAGTGGACGTGTTGTGGTTTTTCTCCCCGACGGGAAGTGGCAGGGGGAGGATGCAGAGCCACTCCCAGGGGCGGATCCAGAATTTTTCAAACAGGGGTAACAACAATTTTAGAGTAGGTAACTGAGTAGCACATAACAATTTACATTGAAATTTTTTTAATTTTGTGGCAAAACGGGGGGGGGGGGGGGGCACGTGCTCCCCGTACCTGTCGTTTTCACCGGACATTCAATGTTTTGATGAAAATTAACACTGCATTCAAATAATAGCAATGACCAACCTGGACGTATTTTGACTATTTACATCATCTGTATTTAACAGACACGCTTTTTTTTTTAAATTCACGTTGGTGATGCCGGCACCAATCATACTGATGAAGCAACGCCCCGGGGGCTCAGAAGATAGATAAAGGGTTGCTTATTGGTAAATCATGTAAGCATGGGCGACACATAGCGTCAAGAAGAAAGCATTTATTCGTGAGAAAAAAAAACATATTAGGTAGTTTTTGAGGTATTTTGTGATATTTCGACACATATTTTTGATATAGGCCTACTTTTGATCACATCGAGGTAACTTTATAACTGTCCAGTTGTTGCATAAACGGCGTTACATACAACTTTTCATCCTCTTGATCTTTTGTAACTGGCAATATTGAAAAACTTCATCAGATTATGGTAACCAATATCGGTTAAATGATGGTTGTTTAAATACTTTGATATCCAGTTTAGGTAAATACAATTGTGAAAGTTTCACATTTCTTCAGTCTTCAGAAAATACTCTCCTAAAAAGCTTTCAGTATTATACACTATATCCAAAAAGAGAGAAGTCCTCTTAAATGTTCTACCAATGCAATTGTTGAACAAACGCCTTTTGGCAACTACATACAACGTTTATAGCATGGGCGCGGATCATTGGGTGGGGGATGAACTTAAAGCCGGTTTTCCACTAGGCGAATTTATTGAACCGACGCTTTCGATTCGCGCAAATAAATTCGCCTAGTGGAAACCCGGCTTAACTGCATAGAATGACCCAGGCTAACTAAAGAGCCATGTACTGCCAAAATAAATCTATTTATAGCAAGATACTGGTATCGCTGCACACAAATGTAAAAAAATAACCTATACACGACTTCATTGCGCATGCCTTTCTTATAAATTGAGAAGTATGAGAAAAAAAAAGCGTGTATATATAAGATTAGTTTTTCTGCACATGAAGCAGGTAAAGTAAAGTTAATACATCAAAGACAATTAAGTTTTATTTTCTATGGTGCTGAGATAGGTGTGGACTCACAGCTTTAAGCAGGTAAAGTAAAGTTAATACCGAAGACAATTTTTAAAGCTTTATTTTCAATGGTACATCACAGACTACTTAGATCTTTAAGATTGCAGAAAATCGCTGATAAAAGATCATGAGGAATTTTTTGGCGCTTCATCATTTTCACTATAGTGGCGATGTGATGATGAATTTCTCTATATAAGAGTGTCATTTCAGGGCATCTAGAGGCACAATTTACCCAAATTTTCGCGCCTCAGCCCCCATGGTGGGGCTGAGATAGGTGAGGTAAAGTAAATACATAAAAGACAGTGTTTTCAAGTTTTATTTTCTATGATACATCACACAGATTATTTAGATCTCTATGACCACCGCAAATTCTAGATAAAAGGTCATGAGAAATTTGTTGGCGCTTGACTTTGACTATGGTGATGTGGTGATGAATTTCACTATATAAAATTGTCACTTCCGGCCACATAGAGGTACTATTTTATCTAATTTTCGCACCTCAGCCCCAACCATGGTCTGGCTAAGGTTTATCGGGACTCACGGCTTAAAGTAAATTAAATATATCAATGACAATGTTTCAAAATTAATTTACTATGGTACATCACACAAATTAATTAGATCTCTATGGTTGCCGAAAATCGCTGATATAAAAGATCAAGAGAAATTTGTTGGCGCTTCATTTTGACTACAATTGTGATGTGATGATGATGAATTTTACTATAAGAGTGTCATTTCCGGTCATCTAGAGAGTACTATTTCCTAAAATTTTCGCACCTCAGCACCAACAATGGTGGGGCTGACGGGTGGGTGTGGTCTCACGGAATGCCACCCCCACCTTCCAAGAACAGATCTGCGCATTTGGTTTATAGACTCCACTATTACAGTATTGTTAAATATTTAAATTCTAGTTTTTAAAGATGTTATTATTGCAATAATAATTGAACCTTAGTTAATAATTATCTCTGTTATCATCAACTTCATCATCACTGCTGTCATTATCACGAGTCAACGAATGCCACTCTCTATAACAGAATGTTCATACAACAGGAATCTAAGGTTCTACAGCATAAGTTATTTATTAATTCAACATTTATTCGAATTTCAATTTTATAATAGGGGTCAGTGCTAAATAAATTAGACATACAAATGCTGCCTGTCTTTTTATTGATCGTATCGTTCACACTAGCACGGCTACGCCACTTTTTCACTTATAAATGCAACCCTATTTCAGCCAGGTTGACGATAAGTTGCGCCCTCTATCACAAGAAATAAAAGAAAACCTGTTTGACAGGCCTACACATAATGATAAACACAACTTAAGTACCTTAATATCTAAAAACAATCAGTATAAAATATTGGTAAAATTAAAGACAGATATACTGTGTAATGTCTATATACAATAAGTGTTCTGACTACAGTAAATTACTATAGTGTGTGTGTGTGTGTATATATATATANGTGTATATATATATATGTATATATATATATATAAATATATATATATATATATATATATATATACACATATATATATATCTCATTAAGATCTTCAATTTAAGTGGCGTCCATACCGCTAACAATCTATTTACTATTTACAAGAATTTTCTCCTTGGCTCTCATTAATTACCAGTATAATGTTGCTCACTTTTGTAGAAACTCGGGAGATCAACCTGCCTGTTAAGTCAACCACCATGTGGTGACGTAACAGTTGTTCCAGTGGATTCCTGATTTGTATCCTTTTTGAGAAAATAAATGATCATACCCGTAGAAACTATCACAATGAAAACACAGCCCAAAGTAATATATGTTGGAAGTAGAAATTTTCTTGAAGAGGTTTTTGTTTCGACCATATTTTCTCAATAAATTTTGAGGAAAATCTATTACCACATCTACATAATTTATTATATTTTATATATACAATTTGCTTATGCAGGAACTCTGATTTTCCTGTATATATACTGTCTCTTATACACATCTAGATGTGTATAAGAGACAACTAACTCTATATGCACGATGATTATGCTGGAATTTTAAAGAGTCGATTGTACATAAGAATGGAATACCTGTACTTGTGCAGGTTTGTTAATTGTAATAAATGTGATTTTAAATGCTAGTAATTCTATAGGATGCCCTCTACAGTTTACTTTCTTCTATGCTTTCTTCCTATGTACAAATTATAATCATTCTCTTCTTTATAAGTGTAAATATAATAATGATGTAAGAAAATTAATAACAATAATAACATGTATTATTATGCAATACTTCATAATAAAATCATTACATCTTTCAATAATGACATAATAAACAAATCTATTAACTTGTTATTTCATCCTTTTACGCAATTCTTCAGCTAATCTAATGTTTTGGTGAGCTATGAGGGCTTGACACATTTTATCCAGCTGGTTTACTGCACGTGGCTGTTGTTCCCTCCACTGCATCAACATTTCCATGATAGCATCTTCGACCTTTCTAAAATTACAATGAATTTTCTCTAGTTCATTCCAACCGATCCCTAGGTTCAAACCAAGCATCCTCCAATTACTGCCTAGTTCTTTGCAGATGTGCATCAATGCCTCATCAGGTAGGTACCCTAGTTGTGAGAAACATTCATTTTATTTTGCAATAATTTTTTATTTTATTTATTTCATATTATTTGAGGCTTACCATCATGAAAATTTGAAGGTGTAATTATTGATTACTGTACTCAATGGAGTATTCAAGGCTGGGGCCCCAGCCTGCCCAACCCCCTATTTTTCCAAAATTATAAAAAAAATGGGGAAAAAGGAAATTATATTCATTATATTATAAGTCTGAGTGTGCCATTTCCGGCCATCTAGAGGTGTTATAATGCTAAATTTTCTTACCTCAGCCCCAAAAATGGTGGGGAAAAGGTGGTGTTCCTCCTCCACCTTTAAAATCCCTCCCTGGCCCCTCTATTCGAATTCCCTGATCTGCCACTGCAATTGTTTAATTTTACCTGCCACAATTTTTTTTTTTTTCTATTAGTTTAGAACAGCTGCTGAGACCAAATTTTCTCCTCTTAAATAGTAATACAAATCCGATTATCAGTCATATTTATTTCTAACCTAGGCCTTTAGGAGAAGGGGTTAAAAAAAAACACTTCTTACAATGAATTTTCTGAGAACTAGGGAATTCCCCTATCACATTAAAGGGACCGGCAATTAATCTTGCACTGGGGCCTTTTTGCACCTAGCTACGCCGCTGGATAAGAAGGAGGGTCAGATATCACAAATCAGCGTCAGGCAGGTATGGTTCATTAGAAGTGAATCAGTGTTTGCAGGTATTAATATATTGACCATATATTTGCCCAAAGCATACTGTTGTTTGCACTTAAGCCCTGTCCAGATTATCAAAAAACTGTTGTATGCCCATATATAGTCATGATGTGCATATATATGATAATGATGTGATGTCATCATGACCATATTTAGGAGTGTCAAGTGTATTGTAAAATAAAATTTAATAGTCTGGGCAGGGCTTTAGATATAAATATGCAGTTGGTTTTTAGAGAAACAATGATTAATACTTACTACAAAAATGGCAGTGTTTATAATAATAATACAGTAGAACTCCCTCCCTTTGGGACATCTTTATTAAGGGGATATCTAACATACACTTGAGGGACCTCAATCATAGGCTGAAGCCAGAGTAGCATGATTAATCATACTGTTAATTCACAGGTGGGCACAGTGCAGCCTGCGTGGAACATGCTGCCATACAGAAATGTGTTTGTGGTCCGTGGAATTATATATTAAAAATCCTGAGTGCAGCCCCAACTCCTTGTAGATACAGCTTGGCGCCGATCATCTAAATCAGTGGTTCCCAAAAATTATTGGGGGGGTCCACCAAGTCAAAAGGGTAGGCAGCGTGTCCACAAAAAATTTGGGGGCTACAGACATAAAAAATGTCTACCATCTACCTCCAAAAGTGACTATCTGATCCCCCTTTATTTCAAATTAAAGGATCCACCACTGTTTAATATTATACTTTTATGGCGAGTATATTCTATCTATAATCTTATTGGCGGAATATCAACCATAAGTCACCCTACATTTTACAACATAAAAAATAAATGGGGATAAAAAAAAAATTACTTTTACATTTCGAGTTCGACAGTGCCATAGACATAAATTACTATGAAAATTGAGCATAAAGTAGTATAAAAGCAGTGATAGCACATTTTTATAAGCACTGGAAAAATAATTTTCTTTTTCCAATAAACGTCTTAAGTTTGCATGCGGCCTCCAATGTTAATAAAGAATTCAATTTGGCCCTTTGCTTCCCATTTCTATACCCACCTTTGATTCCGACACAAAGAAGTGTTTAATAGAAACACTTACCAGGTTGCCTTGGGACATCTTGTCTAAAACAGTAAGCATCTAAATAAGAAATCAAATAAAGATAAAATGTAAACTGAATTTCAAAAAAATAACTCGTGCAATACATTTTTGCTAAATTTCTACTCTAAAAGGAAGGAATATTTTTTTAAATAAATGTTATTTGTGTTTTGTTTGACATACAAAAAAAATTAATTGTTCATTTCCAAATTTATGTATATACTGTAGTAGTACAATACTTTCATATAATTGTTTGAAGAAATTTACTTCCTTGTTTCTTGTTTTTCTGTTAACACCACACCGTTAGCTTTTTTTATAACATACTTTTTGGTGCTGTTATTTTTCTCTAAATGAAGAGAATACAAGTACTGCGTTCACCTTTTTCTATCCATTGAACTCTCAAACGTATGTATGCACCGCTTTCTTCATTATCATAAATTCTAAATTTTCTAGAGTTTTTGTTTTTTCCTTCAATTTCAGTCTTGATTACCAAAATTAGGAACCTGGTTGACTAGCGCTTCATTTAACTGTTGTATTTGTATATCTTGTAAGAATTTCATCTGGTTATCTCATATCAATAGTTGATTTAATTTCTTTTTTGTTTAACCAAAATCTAAATGTAGGCCTACTCACTTAAGATGTTTCGTCTGTCTACAGCGGACATCATCAGTTAACCGACGTGACGTTATCGTTATTACATCATCGCAGATGCAGTGCGATGACGTGCGCCCTTCGCCTTGTTCTTATGGTTGGATTGCCCTCCTGCCTACTAGGTGTTGCTTTAACAGTTCATCATGTATGTTACCAAGTTCATAAGTTCCCTCATCCCTGTTCATTGTGTTCGTTTTCTTTCTTATCCATAGTGATTCTTTTATTTTTTGCTCCTGCTACGATGGTTCTTCCTCCAAAATATTAACTTTCCAGTTAGGTATGTGGTTGTGCTGTGTCTTATGATCTGTGATGGCTGACTAATGTATCATTGTTGCAGTTGATGTTCTAGAAGCCCTAGTGCATATCTCCCTTGTATTAGCCGCGACATCTTTTTGTGTTCTTGAAGTCTTGTGTTTGTCTTCTTGTTTCCTGGTATGAAGTATGTATTTATTTTATGATCCTTCAGAGTTCTTTTTATTTTTTCTGACATTCCTTTAATGTATTTGAAGCTTACGTTTCCTCTCTTTTTTTTTCTTGTGCTTGTTGTTTTTCACTTAATTATTTTCTTTTTCTTTGGTTTTCCTATATACACAGTCAATGGCCCATTGTGGATAGTTGCATGTTTTAAATATTTCTTTTATTATATTCCTTTCTATGTTACGTTCCTTTTCTGCGGAGAAATGCTTTTTGCTGTCTACTCTAGTGTTTGCATCATACTCAGTTTATGTCCAATGGATAGTTAAAATGTATTGGTTAGTGTGCATCTTTTTAAAATATACAGTAGTTGGTAATGCTTCATCTGCTTCTAGGTGAAATAATGTGTCCAAAAAAGGAATCGTGTCATTTTCCATGCATTTGGTGTCTAAGTGTTGATTAAGTCTTTCACCTGTTCCCTTTGGTATAATTGCTAATATATCATCAACGTATTGTTTCCAAAGTGTTGCATGTCAGATGGGGCTAGTTTGATGGCTTGTTGTTCCATCCATTCCATGTATAGATTTGCTAATATTGGGCTTACCAGACTCCCCATAGCCATCTATTGTTTTTGTTGGTATATTATATGTATGCAGTGGTTAAAACGAAAGTGAGAAAATCCATAACCACCAGGAATGTTGGTGTGTTCTTATAGCTCTATTATTTCTTATTCGCTCCCGACAACCTCTAAACAGTATTCACATGCGTTTTTGTGAATAGAGAATGACATCAAAAGAAACTATGGTCTCAGATTATTTGACTTTCGCTCCTTTCAATTTTTGCGTAAAATGAGTTTTATGTAAGAGTACTACATCAGATTTTTTATCTCTACACCATTTTTTAATCTGCATGTGTTTGGCTTTTTCACTTAATAATAAATAAATAATTCTGGATTTATACAGAACCTCATGTTGTCACAACCTCGAGGCGCTTAACAACAACATAGACAAATAAACAAATGTATAAATGTACAGTTAGTTGTTTATCCTATATTTTAGGTTTTAGTTTATTCTAATAGTTTAACAATTAATTCGATGATGATTAATAATTATTACAATACAGTAGTTTGGTAATTGAATGATTTAATCAACTCGGCCCACACAGTGATTCTTAGAGATTCTTCCACAGCGTGTTACTTCCTTATCATTTCATAGCCTGTTACTCTCCTTTCCCTTTCCAATTTGTTTCTATTTCGTTCCCTTAACTTTATAGTTTATCTTTTCTTTCCTGTTCCGTTCTTAAAATTGCTTTATCGTTTCTTTCATTGTCATTTCTTAAGTTTCTTGTCTTTCTTTCTTTTTCCTTTCTAATGTTTTCATCTTTTCAATCCTTGTCCTTTATGTTTCCTTATCTTATCTTTCCTGTTCCTTTCTTGGTTTCTTATCCTTTCTTTCATTTCCTTTATTATAATTCATTATCTGTCTTTCAATTTGCATTCCTATATTCCTTATCATTCCTTTCCTTCTCCTTTCTTATGTTTCTGTCAATATTTCCTTATATTTTCTTTTCCTTTCTGATGTTTAATTATCTTTCTTTTCTTTTTCCATCCTTAGTTTCCTTATCTTTTCTTTCCTTTTCCTTTCTTATATTTCCTTATCTTTCTTTCCTTTTACATTCTTACAAATCCAAATCATTTCTTTCCTTTCCTTTCTTATGTTCCTTATCAGCGAGTAAAACATAACATATCGATATTAATAGTAGCAGCATTTGTAAATATCAATGGTATTGATGCCCTGATTTTGATAGCACATATCAAACATGCATATGACATACCTGATTTTAACATATTTATACATACACAGGCACACATACATACATACACATACATACATTTACACATACACATGTTGAATTATCACTATCTCTAGTTTGTGCAATGCAGGCTTATTTCTTTCTATTATTTTTCTTACTTTTTTCTGGATTTTCTTCTTCGTTTAGTGCCTGGTGGTGTGGGTGATATGTCATCCACTTGCCATTTTCCGTCATCCTTTGGTACATTTGAGCTCTGTTTTGTAGATGATTTTCCCATGAAGTCTGTTATTTTGCCTTGCTTATATTTTCTTCTTCGCTTAGTGCCTGGCGGTGTGGGTGGTATGTTATCCGCTTGCCATTTTCTGTCATCCTTTGGTACATTCGAGCAGCTTTCTCTTTTTTTCCCTTTTGTCTGTTTGGTAGATGATTTTCCCATGAAGTCCATTATTTTGCCTTGCTTATATTTTCTTCTTCGCTTAGTGCCTGGCGGTGTGGGTGATATGTTATCCGTTTGCCTTTTTCCGTCGCCCTTTGGTTCATTCGAGCAGCTTTCTCTTTTTTTCCCTTTTATCTGTTTTGTAGATGATTTTCCCATGAAGTCCGTTATATTGCCTTTCTTCGTTTGATTCTCCTCTTTTGATTCACCTTTCTCATTATCATCGTCATCACTGTCCGTGATTGCATCTGAGCTGAAATCTCCGTCATTAGACATGCGGTTATCATCTTCGTTTGTATCTTTTTTGTCAATGATGACACGTTCTGCACTACTCTCACCATTTCTATGCCCCTCTGATCCACATGCATCGCATACGTCCTTGTTTGGACATGCAGTAGCATTCTTCAAACACTTGGAACATTTGATCCTCTCATGTGATTGACCTTTATGAAATAACCTGGCTTTAAAGTCATTTATGTTCAAGACTCTTGGTAAAGGAGTTTTAAGGGTTTCAACGTAAAAAAACCGGTCACCGTTTAGACAGCTTGTGAGTTGCCCATCAACTGTCAATTTTTTACGCTGTATGGCACCCTTTATTTTGCAGTTAAATCGCATCAGAGATTTTCGTATTTCGTCATCAGCCACGGAAAGAGGTAAGTCTTTGACGATGACCTGGGTAGAGTCAGTATCATTAGGTAAATATGGATTCTTATCGTATATCCTAATGCTCTTACCGCTCATATTCACTCCTGCTGTTATAAGCTTCACTCTATCTTGCTGAGAGTTAATGTACAGCCTCCATAATTTATTGATTCTTTGTATTCCGGTAATGTATTCCCGACTTTCTACAGACTTCACCAGCACTTTATATATATCTTGATCTCCAACGAATTGATCACAGATGGTATTCACTTCGTCTACTTTCATGAATATTGGTTTCACTTTTACTGAAACGTCTCGAGTTGTTGCGGCTTGGGTCATCTGATCCATTGGCACGTCTTTCGAATGTGTAGAATTTTCTGTCATTTTTCTTCCACAGATCGAACCTTCAGCTAAATCACAATAATTTCAATTATTTTCCTTACCTGCTTTTTCACTTGTGTTATTAGATCCTTTTGATAATACATTCTGAAGCAAATATTGAGATCAATTCAATATTTTAAGCAATTTTTGTAGAGCTGATATACACGAACGTCTCCATAGAGTCGTGTTATACACCGCTCTCTCTATCCTTTTATTTTAAGTCATACAATGTTGCACTGAATTTAATGAAAACAGCTGTTGTGTAGTTGATACTTACGAAGAGGTTGAAAAATTATGGGGAAACAAGGCTAAATTGGATTTCGTCTGGGTTTAATCGAATCTATGACATAATCATTTTTAATTGTTAAAAGAAATCTACTGAAATCTTGGAAAAATTTGTGTTAAAGGAAACTGGCTGAGCGAATACACTTCAATAATTGAATCTATTCCAAAGGATTGGTTAAACATAATTAAGAATCATAACAAGAATATGCATGTAAATATTGGTGAGGAGTGTAATATAATTAATGACATAGTTCGAATGAAAACAAAACATATTTATTCAACTTTTGTTAATGCAAAATTTATTCCATCTCAAGCTACATGCAAACAGGATAATGTGTTCAACACAGAAGAAATACATTGGAGGTACATTTGGATAACAAAAGTGAAAAATGAAAAAAAAAAAAAAAACAGAAAATATGCACAATTTATAAATTGTTTAAATAAAATTGTTCCTACTGTACGAACTTACAGTTTACAGTATTAGTTCAAAACTTTAAAAAAAAGTAGTAAATGTGCCATTCGTGGTGTAAATGAAGATGAGAAACACATGTTCTTCGAATGTATACGTAATACAATATAATGGAAAAATATAGATAACATTTTCAAAAAAATTAGACAACAGCAGCAAACATTCTTTTAAAGAAACATTATGGAGAAATATAGGTTGCAAATGTGAATTCCAGAACCAGCTATACTCACACAATTTTTTTACACTCTCCCTTTTTTTGATAATAGGAACAATATCCAAGGGGGAGGAATAGAGGGAAGGTCCAATGTCATGGAAAATCATACAAAATCTCTCACTTACCTTGTCCGGCATTTTCTTGTGCCTGTCCATAACTGCCTGGTCCAGGATAACTATTTCCTTGCCCATGTCCATAACCTCCTGGTACATAAACAAATTGTCCATGATTACCATGCCCAGGAACACCTGACGATACACTGAAACTATGGATATTGGTTCCAGGACCAATGTTGATATTTGTGCCAACATTGCTGGAAGTGACTTGAAAAAAAAAAGAATATTAGTTGATTTTATTATCATTTTATTCATAAATATCACCATATTATATATTATGATTGCATTGTTTTGGTCCCCTGTACATTTCTGTTGTGTGTGTGTGTTTGTCTGTTTCTTTGTGTCTACTTTCGGAAATTTTGTTGTTGTGTCAAGTGATGCCCTATTCCTTTTAATAAATTTATTTATTTATTTATTTATTGTTTATTTAAATGTTTCTTGCCTTTTCATGATCTTTTGGGCTTTTTTAATTTCAAGATTTCAATTTTATTGTCTGTTTGTTTGTTTGTTTGATTTGATTTTGAAGAAATAAATGTTTATTTGTGTTAAGTCTGAGTCATAATGATACTTGTGGAAGGAAGAAAATCAGGGATTCAGATGACAGATGAGTTTTAAAAAAAAAGCAGAATAAGGAGGGGGAGGAGAATGTTGAAGGAATCACAATATGCTTATTTTACTGGGCCTCTGGTATCGCGTGTTAATTTCCAATCGTTCATTATCTTGTAAGGTGAAAATGTCAGGATTATTGCAGTAGGCCTTCATACCACTCAAAGCAAACGATAATTATTAAAAAAACCAAGCACATGCACAGAGTACAAATTTATGATGGTTTCACCCGACCCAATTTTGGTTAATTAGAACTTAAAATTATTGAACTCTGCTGATGCTGCCATGTTTGCATAGAGAAATATTTAGCTACAACTGACACAAGATGACATGTTTAGCTATCTGGAAACAAAAATACTTTGTGAGGTAATTTTCAATTTGACAAAACAATTAACTTGTTTTACTTTCTATATATTTTTCATTTGATTTGCCTCTTGGTGTTTCTAATTTTGTAGTTTCAGGGTAATTGAATTATTAGCTATTTGCCATAAGGCTATGTAGAAATCTGGCTTCTCCAAGTTTGATGTGAATTAATACATAAATAAAATAATTAAATATATGAATGAATAAACAAACAAAAAATTAACGAATATATACTGTAAAAAAACTTTATTTAAAGGGTTACAACATTGCAAGACAAACCAATTTGTGTGTAGTAAAATAGTGGTCTATTAAATTAGTGGAAGAACTTAACATTGCCAGTAGAATACAAGCAACAAACCAAAGGACTTACACATAGTTCCATGGGAGTGTGCCTGGGGGTTTGCCTGGGGGCGTGATTGTGACTGGAATTTCGCTGACTGAGGTGGACCGGAACCTTGTTGGCCTTGAAGTAAAAATTAAAAACATTTAGTGTTAGTAGTTACTAGTATTACTGCAGTGAGCAGGCATAATTAATATAGTAGAGGTAGTAGTAGTGGTAGCGTGAGCAGAGGGTCCGGGGGTAGGCTATGCATCATTCATAGACCCAAAATATAGCTCATTTCCTCAATTTCAACAGCACCCACTGTCTTGCAATATCTGTTGCATACTGTATCGACAAGACAAATTTAATTTGTCTTTTGGTGCTTTTGCTATCGGCTTCATAAAAAGTAATGATAATTGTTATTTCCAGCTTCCATGTTTGTTTATCATCTGCTCGCTGATCCGTGGCACGGTCAAAGGGCCATCTCTCGTCATACAGATCACAGTCCCCTTTACTATCTGTGCATATCATAAATTACACAGCATCGTTATAAGTGTGGTCTAGGGATTATGTTGCGATAGGGAAAAAAATTACTATCATTACTGGGAATTTATGAACTATCTTAAATTTAGAATTTTAAACTACTGTATCATATAACCTAGAGCATAGGAGGGATGGTTGAAGTTATTATCCATTTAACCAATTACATGCCTGGAATCTACGTATGCAGTATATTTTTTTTTAATGTAATTTCAATATAAAATTTCTTTATTAGCACAAATATAAACTGTACCTGAATTTGGGGAAGCTCCAGTGTTTTGCGGTTGCCATGTAGGTCTTCCAGAAGAATGATCACCTATGAAAAATAGAGATCAGTTTAATAAGTTCAGCAGATATAGATATCGATGTAGATAGTCTCATAATGCAAACATTTCTGCTAGCAAACATGAACTGTACCTGTCGTAGGGGATGCTCCAGTAGTTGGAGGTTCACTTGTACGTATCCCAGAGTGATCACCTATAAAATAGATTGATAGAGTAAAGGCAAGACCTTTTTTATACTGTGTTTTGCAAACTTTTTTTTTAAAGATTATCAGAGAAGGGTGCAAAAAAATAAAAAAATTTTTTTTTCTGACTTAGCAAAGTATTGGTTATAGATTGAACTATACTGTTATACCATAAAACCTTGAATTGAAGCCCAGTGGGCATAATCTCTGTCTCTTATACACATCTAAATCAGGGATTCAGATGACAGATGAGTTTTAAAAAAAAAGCAGAATAAGGAGGGGGAGGAGAATGTTGAAGGAATCACAATATGCTTATTTTACTGGGTCTCTGGTATCGTGTGTTAATTTCCAATCGTTCATTATCTTGTAAGGTGAAAATGTCAGGATTATTGCAGTAGGCCTTCATACCACTCAAAGCAAACGATAATTATTAAAAAAAACCAAGCACATGCACAGAGTACAAATTTATGATGGTTTCACCCCACCCAATTTTGGTTAATTAGAACTTAAAATTATTGAACACTGCTGATGCTGCCATGTTTGCATAGAGAAATATTTAGCTACAACTGACACAAGATGACATGTTTAGCTATCTGGAAACAAAAATACTTTGTGAGGTAATTTTCAATTTGACAAAACAATTAACTTGTTTTACTTTCTATATATTTTTCATTTGATTTGCCTCTTGGTGTTTCTAATTTTGTAGTTTCAGGGTAATTGAATTATTAGCCATTTGCCATAAGGCTATGTAGAAATCTGGCTTCTCCAAGTTTGATGTGAATTAATACATAAATAAAATAATTAAATATATGAATGAACAAACAAACAAAAAAATTAACAAATAAATACTGTAAAAAAACTTTATTTAAAGGGTTACAACATTCCAAGACAAACCAATTTGTGTGTAGTAAAATAGTGCTCTATTAAATTAGTGGAAGAACTTAACATTGCCAGTAGAATATAAGCAACAAACCAAAGGACTTACACATAGTTCCATGGGAGTGTGCCTGGGGGTGTGCCTGGGGGCGTGCCTGGGGGCGTGCCTGGGGGCGTGCCTGGAATTTCGCTGACTGAGATGGACCGAAACCTTGTTGGCCTTGAAGTAAAAATTAAAAACATTTAGTGTTAGTAGTTACTAGTATTACTGCAGTGAGCAGGCATAATTAATATAGTAGAGGTAGTAGTAGTGGTGGCGTGAGCAGAGGGTCTGGGAGGGGGGGGGGATGAAATTCCCCCATCGGACAGGCCTGGAACTCCATCTTCCTAAGCCACGAGAAGGTCATTAGAACAAAAACCCAAATATCCGAATAATGATATTTTTATTGCCAATCCCTAATATTACAGTATGCTCTAAAAGCCAGTGGCGTAGAAAAGTATTTTTCATTGGGGGGAGAATGATTGGCGTGTTAGCCAGTGTCGTAACAGGCGCGGGGGTGGGGGCAGGGGGGAAACTGCCCCTCCCCTGACAGTTTTTACCGGGCTGACCAAGCCGTTGTACCGGGCTGGGTAATAAGAGAAAAGAAAGAGGGGAGAGGGAGGGAAAGAGAAAGAAGAGGAAAAGAAAAGGAAAGGAAAAGAAAAAGAGAAGAGAAAAATAAAGACGAGAATAAAAAGGAAGATGTCATAATGACCAGACTCACAACACCTTGCCCTTCTCCACTTCAAAAACTGTCATAACTCCTTTGATCTATGCTGCCCGATGGCGTAACCACTGGGGGACAAGGGGAAAATATCTACCTTTGGAAAATCTTCCCCACCCCTTTATAAATGCCCTTTTCAACTTCTTGAAAATGCCTAAAAACCTCAAATTTCTTGTTAACATGGGCCAATTTCCGTTAAAAATTGCACATTTTAGGGAGTTTTGATCAATTCCAACGAAATTAGAATTAAAAACACTGGGGGACAAGGGGAAAATATCCATCTTTGGAAAATCTTTCCCCATTCTCAAATTCTTTGCGCGCATTTCTTGTTACGGTAGGCCAATTTCCTCTATAAATTGCACATTTTAGGGCGTTTTCATCAATTCCGACGAAATTAGAATTAAATACACAAAAATGTTTTGCGCGCTTCGCACGCACTTTTTAGGGCTTTATAAGGTTTATCCTTTTAAGTTATTTAAACAAATAATAGTCCCAAACTCAAGAAAGACAAATTTAAGTTAGATCGTTTGAACCTAAAAGAAGGGCTTCAATGTGTATTGATGGTGAAAGAATATGTTTTTAATAAATAAAACCATGATGAAAATGCTTATATTTAGTTCCAAACACACGTGTGTGGCCTATATTATAAATAAGACAAGCCCTATGACATATTGTTTTCTATATGGGGAGTGGGGTGGGGTATGGTAAATTACTAACCGGGAAAATAAATACCCACTCTGATCCAAGACCCCTGTTACGCGCCTGGTGTTAGCGCCACTGTGTGCCCTTGTGCGGACAGGGGATGTGCCCCACTCTGAAGCTGGAAACCTTGTTTTTGCAAAATAAATTGATGCAATTTGCTATTATAGGCCTAATCAATAAATTCTTCATCAACAGATATAACCTTCATTCTTGGAATTGACATAACATTACTGATGTCGTACACACCCTTCAGTGTGAAATGTGGCTCTCTTTGCAAGCACATCTAATATCTAAGGAAAGAAGAGCTTAGATTGGTACCAGATAAAATAATTTTGTTATCAACATTAATACATTATGCTAATTTTCATCTTGTAAGCGCAAGACAGTGCAAATTATTTCTGTGACAGTCTTTTGAAGTGTGTAAAGCTCCATTTTATCCCATACATAGGCAAAATATTGGGGGGGGGGGATGATGCAATGGACCATCCCCCCCCTTGTCAAATATTGGGGGGGATATATCCCCCATCCCCCCGGGATCTACGCCTAAGCTAAAAGCACAATTTTAGGCCATACTAAGCCCAACTCTCCCCATGAACCCTACCAAAGATTTTTATTCTAGGACCCTGACTGAAGCTCTAGTCAGCTTCTTGGTTTGAATCTCCTGTCTGACATGTCGGATCCTCCGTCAGCAAATTTCTGGAGCCACCACTGGGTAGTAGTAGTAGTAATGATGGTAGTAATTATCATCATCACCACCACAATCATCATCCTCTTCCCCATACCAAAATTCAAAATCACATTTACACTTTAAAAATAAAAATTTGTGTTGTCAAGCCATACCAAATTCTTGAAAATCTAAAGCTTACTTTTTAACAAAGAAGTGCCCAAATGTTTGTATTTTCCACATTTTTTATTAGCTCTATGGTTACCACTTTACCAATCAATGTAATGGATGGATGATTGTTAGCAATGAATCCTAGAATCAACAATAGAAGCAGTATAGTGATAGCAGTGGTGGTGTTTTTAGTAATACTCTACAGCTAAATAATAGTACAGATACTGTAGCATACAAATATTGATGGCTCATGAGGGTAATGGCGAAATCTATTGCCCCAAGGTGATGTGGAGATCGTAGAATCACCGAGCGCTATAGATTTTACCCCAAATCTAGAGCAGTCAACATTTGTTTTATATACTGTAGCTCATACATAGATTCTACGAGTCCTATAACCAAGTAATAAAAGAGCACTGTATCCACTAAGTAGGCCTACTGTAGGCCTAGGCTATGCATCATTCATAGACCCAAAATATAGCTCATTTCCTCAATTTCAACAGCACCCACTGTCTTGCAATATTTGTTGCATACTGTATCGACAAGACAAATTTAATTTGTCTTTTGGTGCTTTTGCTATCGGCTTCATAAAAAGTAATGATAATTGTTATTTCCAGCTTCCATGTTTGTTTATCATCTGCTCGCTGATCCGTGGCACGGTCAAAGGGCCATCTCTCGTCATACAGATCACAGTCCCCTTTACTATCTGTGCATATCATAAATTACACAGCATCGTTATAAGTGTGGTCTAGGGATTATGTTGCGATAGGGAAAAAAATTACTATCATTACTGGGAATTTATGAACTATCTTAAATTTAGAATTTTAAACTACTGTATCATATAACCTAGAGCATAGGAGGGATGGTTGAAGTTATTATCCATTTAACCAATTACATGCCTGGAATCTACGTATGCAGTATATTTTTTTAAAATGTAATTTCAATATAAAATTTCTTTAAGCACAAATATAAACTGTACCTGAATTTGGGGAAGCTCCAGTGTTTTGCGGTTGCCATGTAGGTCTTCCAGAAGAATGATCACCTATGAAAAATAGAGATCAGTTTAATAAGTTCAGCAGATATAGATATCGATGTAGATAGTCTCATAATGCAAACATTTCTGCTAGCAAACATGAACTGTACCTGTCGTAGGGGATGCTCCAGTAGTTGGAGGTTCACTTGTACGTATCCCAGAGTGATCACCTATAAAATAGATTGATAGAGTAAAGGCAAGACCTTTTTTATACTGTGTTTTGCAAACTTTTTTTTTAAAGATTATCAGAGAAGGGTGCAAAAAAATAAAAAAATTTTTTTTTCTGACTTAGCAAAGTATTGGTTATAGATTGAACTATACTGTTATACCATAAAACCTTGAATTGAAGCCCAGTGGGCATAATCTCGAGCCCATCTCGATTTGAAGGCCCCCCCCCCCGCTTTTTAGTTTGCAAAATTAGCCTCGAAAAGAAGCCAATGGGCTTTTTTTAAGATACCTGTAGCATAGGCTTCCTTTCGAGATAGTACAGTACATACACTGTACATTAATTTCAATAAACAAAATAAATTAAAAACAAGCTTGGTTTATACAGTAGTTTAGGTGATTTAATGCCACTTAAATACACTCCATGATACAGACTGATGTTACAGTGGCCTTATTTATGGATTTATAGTACAAATTCACAAAATTTACAGCATTCATCTTGAAAAGAAGTCCCCCTCTTTACTTTGCAAAAGTAGCCACGAAAAGAAGCCCATCCAAAGTTTGCAAAAAAAAAAAAAAAAAAAAAGAAGCCCTGGGCTTCAATTTGAGGTTTCACGGTATTATTACTGATTGATTGATTTGATTGAATAAATGTTGTTAAATTCCAATAGGATCTAAATTAATGAAAAAAATTTACCGCCACCAGTTGTCGCTTCACTGGTTCCTGGATTCTGCTCTTGAACACCTTGTGGTATTCTACTTCCAGATGGATGTGTATGCTGTTGAGGTGTATTAGCAACTCTTGCATCGGTTGTATCCATTGGAGTTTCTTCTACCCCGGTCACGTTCTCCAATGAATTTATATGGTTAACGACTTCGTTACAACCACAGGTCATAAAAACTTGTCGAAATTTAAGTATATCGCTAATACTTTTAGAAAGCAGATGTAGCTTTTCTAAATCTTCAATGATCTCTCTCATGGAACATTCCTGAAAATCCTCACTTTTCAATTTATAAGAAACAATGATTCTATTCCTAAATTGTCCCATATATTTATTTCTGTACTTTCTGTCATCAAAAGTCATTTCAATCATTTTTTTTAGAGCTTCATATTCTTCTTCTGGTACCTTCTGAGCAACGGGAATTCTTTTTGCTACTTCATCCAAACCTATTTTTTTCAGCAATAATATCAACTCACAGAAGTCTGTCCCGGATATGCACTTACGATCTTTCTCCAGATAATAAAGTAAGTTTTCAAAATCTTCTTCATACGCAAATTCTGGATACTCCTGTCTAATTTTGTTAAAGTGTTCTGGTTTCAGTGCTGCACTTAATAAGTCATTTACTTCTGATCTCATGCGTACCTCACTTCCCATGATTTACGATGTAAATTATCTGAAAAGAGAATAAAATATTATTTAAGTAAAAAAAATACATAATTTGTCATGTTCTCATTCTTATTCGTTAATTGCCAAAACATACAAAACAAAAATATTTACACAATCATGCAAGTTGTACATTTTTAATTTGCTGCTCTGCTTTCATTCTCTTTTTGTCTCTCCAATCACAACTCCAAGACACCATAGCTTTAGGTTTTCATTAACATGACATACAGTACCATATCTCATAACTACCGTATCAAGCCTCAAGCATCTGGCATCTGACTCATGCTTTCAGACCCAACCTCAAGCTCTCACACCATTCACCTAAAATCTCAAGCGTTTGTGAAATCCACACTTTCTTTGATAAGGCCATGTAAAATATAAAAATTGATTAGCATCCTTTATTATGTTATCAATTTTCATGGTAGGGAGGGAAGTTTTTTATTTTTCTTGCGTCAAACATGAAAATAGTGCGTCGCAAGGAAAAACAGCAAAACAAAAAAGAAAACAATAGAGACCAAAATTGCATACAAGAAATTATGAAATTCATATAGCAAGCAGAAACTTTACCTATGAATAACAGTCATAATGCAATTATCTCTATATACACGCATTCACTCCTTGACACAACAGGCATCATGGATGACATGTGGCTACAGTATAGAACAACAGTACAGCATACTGTAGACCGGCAAGTGGTCTGGCTAGCGCGCAAACAGGTGGTAAACAAATCCATATTAAATGGAATTTGTGAGTTTTGTAAAAAAAAAAAGAAAAGAAAAATTGGGTGATCCCCTCCCCTCCCTACCTGGTAGGGAGGGGATGCTAACCAATTACTTTTTTTACATGGCCTAATACATACTGTAGTATTTTTGTTGTGCTCAATATTCAATTCTCAATCTTTCCCCAAGACGATAAAAATTATATCATTATCACACACAAAAATTTAGATTTAGAAAGAAATAATATCTGCGCATTTCAAAAAAATAAGGCCCGATCAGATTTCCACTCATCCTGACCTAGGTCTAGGACCTAGTCTAGGCCCTAGGAGGTAGGGGGCCTAGCCTACTAGACTAGACTCTAGCTAGGCATAGGCCCTATCTAGGGCCTGTATTATTATTAAATCACCAGTCTACTTTACTTCTTCTAATAAACTGGCACCTGACCCTGGGCCTTAGGCCTAGGTAGGCCCAACCTAACTCTAGAAAAATGGTGAAAACCTGCCTAGCCTAGGCAGGTTACGCCTATCCCTACCTAGCCTAGGCCTAGCTACTACAAAACCTACTGATGATGTAGGTGTGTGACAGAGATACATACAGTAGGCGCTAGCTACTAGTGTGACTGCACTGCAGCATTTGGCTAAGGCCTAGCATACAAGCTTGCATAGATGGCCTAAAGCCTACATATAAACTACTACTACTACTAGGCCTAATAATACTTACAGTGTTAAAAGTAATTATTTCGAAAGGCTTTGGAAAACCGAATGGATAATAATATAATAATATACTTTTCCTTTTGCGAAAACGACATCAGACTTCCTACCTACTTTCCGGACGTACAGCGCCACCACCTCACCTCCGACGGCCGGGGGAATGCCAGGGTACCGAATGCCAGATGCCAGTTCGAGCAAAGATAATAAATAGCAGAAGATAGCTTCCAAAATAGTGGAACATCCGGTCGAAATTCATTGTGGGTACACGGAGTAAAATTTTACTTCATCCGCGCGGCGGCGCTATATAGTAATAATAAAGGCCCCGCTCTGGTTTGTTTGTTTCCTGTAGTTTCTCCACTTAGTAATATGTTCAAATTTTACTGCAACCGCATGAGGGCGGATGTTCCATCGTTTTTAACGCAAATACGCGGAACAGCTCATTCTTGGTTCGAGCGAGCGAAAGCGAAGCGAAAAAATGCGCTGACCAATCAGAGCTCAGGAAGCGAACCGACGCTTTGATTCCTCTGGAAAACCGGATTTAACCGGCGAATTCCGGCTAAAGCTGGTTTTCCACTAGGCAGATTCAACTGGCTTTAACCGGTTTTCCACTAAGCGAATTCATTCGCGCGAATCAAAGCGTCGGTTCGCTTCCTGAGCTCTAATTGGTTGCGCATGTTGTTTTCGCTTCGCAAAAACACAATAGAAATGTGAATGCGTATGAACCGACGCTTTCGATTTGAAATTCACGCGAACAAATTCGCCTAGGAGAACCGGCTTAAAGCCTATTTTCCACTTGGAGAATTTATTCGCGCGAATTCATACATTCATACATTATCACCATCAACTTCGGGTCGTCTGCAGTCTGCTGATCATGTTTATAAAAAATACACAAATAAATAGAAATATAGTAAAATTCAGTTTTAATAAAATTATAAAATAGTACATAAACTAACTATAAAAAGGTAGATATAAAAGTAGGCCTATATTTGATTTTAAAAATTTATCAATACTGCAGCAAACATATGCCTATACGCATTTGCCTTTATTTATTACGAAATTGATAAATAAATGTTCAGTACACTTGACATACGGTGCCTCCAGCTATTACTGGTCACGTGAGATGTAGTGGGTACCGTACCCACTATGTTTACATTTTGGCAAAATGTAAACATACACCCACAGTGCGCTCATTGAGAGAGTTACGATGTTTTTTGACAGCGACCCAAAGTAAAGTAAGGCAGTAGGCCTATGTTTTTTTCTTATTTCAATTATCTTACATAATCGGAGACCACTAGTGTGATTAAGGGATTAATTCTTAGTGAATGTATAACCACTAGCAAAGCCTAGATCTTTATTGGGTCCGTTGATGTGTGATTTGATACGCATAATCCAACGTAATTCGGAGCAACGTCTATCTCTAGTAGCTTTGTAGTTACAGCCAATAAAATAAAAAGTACATCTAGAGTGTCCCTGTTTTTCTTTACATAATAGCATATTTCTTGAATGTATAACCACTAGCAAAGCCTAGATCTTTATTGGGTCCGTTGATGTGTGATTTGATACGCATAATCCAACGTAATTCGGAGCAACGTCTATCTCTAGTAGCTTTGTAGTTACAGCCAATATAATAAAAAGTACATCTAGAGTGTCCCTGTTTTTCTTTACATAATAGCCTATTTCTTTATTCATCTATTTATTCATCGTTGAGAGCAAACACTTTATTTACCTTTCTTTGATGATTTATAGGTTTTAAGCATTAATTAGACACCAAAATTATCCGAAGTTAGAGTTAGAATGAATATAAAAATGAACAGTAAGCAGTGGTGGCTCTAGGATATAATTTATGGGGGTGGGGGGGTGCTAAGCATTTATGGGTGTAACTATAACGCGAAGCGTTATCTGAGGACCGAAGCCGGGGAGGGGGATCCCCTCCTCCTAAAACGAGATTTAAAAAAAAATGGAACTTCTGCTAGAAATGGCTGGGATGGGAAAACTAGGCCTTCTTTTTTTTTGGGTCCGACGAGCTTTGGCCGATGGGGGAGGGGGGATTAAGCCACCTTCCCCCCACCTCGCTTGCGCCGCCACTGACAGTAAATGGCATGTCTATTTTAGCATGGAGTTGCCCTATTACTGTATGTTACGTACCGGTACAGTATACAAAGGTATTGTAATGAGCATTTTTATTAATTATGAAATAAGCCTATATAATTTAACAGTGTTAACGGCAATCTTGATTTATATTATATGCAATTATTTGTTTCTAGCCATACTTATTGTGCAATAGAGTGTATCTGGCGGTTCAACAATGGTTCAACCACGAAGCCTCTGTGTATGACGCTCGTCTTGACAGCGACTATGTACACATGTATTATTAGAAAACAGTTGACAATCAATTATTTAGAAATGTATCAATCATAACATTTAATTAATTTATATTTATTACTTTTTAACTCTTAATTGTTCTTAATTTAAATTTAAATTTATTTTAGTTTATCTATTCATTTAGGCTATATCGTGAATATAGCCTAAATGAATAGATATAGGCTATATTCACGATATAGCCTAAATGAATAGATAAACTATTCATTTAGGCTATATCGTGAATATGATTTGTCTCGTTTGAGTCAAACTGAGACAAGCTCAGCTTCTATGCTTGACCAAAATTCATGGACTTTTGTATTTATATTCTCCATTGATTGAATACATGTGTAATTGAATTCAATCTTGCCTGTATGTCTATGAGTAAGACAATGATTACGTTCATTACCGTATTACCAATCTCACATGTCTAAATAATGGCTAAAAATTGAATAAAATGAGGAAACAATTTTTTGTTTTTAGCGTTGTATTATTTGATTCTTTTTGAATATTGAACAATCGGGGGAAAAGGGGCATACCACCATTTTCTACCTTTTACCCCCAGTTTGTTTTTAAGTATTCAAAAATCTGTATCTCAATAAACGTTTCCGATCTTTTCGGCAAACACCATTGTTGTTTTGGAAAAAAAATCAGTTTTAATACAACATCAATTTATTTCCTCCTGAGCCTGGCTTTAATGATTTTATTACATTTAAAAAGTTTTCCTATTTTATGACACATGGTAACCACAATAAAAATTTTATTACTGTTAATATTAAGGCAGTGGCGTCGAGAGCCAGTAAAGGCAACACCTCACATGGGCCTCCCCCCCCCCTTCACTTGGGACCATCCCCCATGGCATTTTCCCTCCCCCATGGCATCCCTCCCCCCTGGATCTTTGATGACCACAGACAGAGATTTCATGACGGTGAAGCACCTATGGATTCAGGGGGGGGGGCATCTGGTTTGGAACGGGAGAGCATTGGATGGACTATTCCCCTGGGGGATTATTCATCTAGTAATAAAAATACAGAAAAACTGAGAAAGACGCCCATAAAACCATAATGTAGAATTTGTTCTGACAACAAAAGTTTTCATCCTGGCTTGAGCTCAGGCCCTATGGAGATTTTGTTCTTACCCCGAAAATTTTTCATCCTGGTCCGGGCCCCCCCAGTAAACCCAGGCCCCGGGGCAGCGACCCCCCTGACCCCTCTCGACGCCACTGCTAATAGGACTTAATCATTATTAATTATTAGTATAATACTAATAATAATGATTAATAATTATTAATTATTAGTAATCGTCACCTCCTCCACATCATCATCACATTATAAATAAAAGCTACGTTTCAAAGTCCAAGTTATTTGTAGCTGTCGCAGTGGTTCCAAGTTGGAAGAAATACCTTTCGGGAGATCTGGTTGACTGTGCTTTCTTAACATATTTAAACTTTTATTTTGCTGTGCATAGTGATAACGTAAAACATGCAAATATTATGAATTTGCGGAAGATGGCTTATTTTCCGAGATTCGTGCTTGCTTGTGAGAGTGCAGGAGGCGTCCCGATTTCCGGGAGACTTTGGGACCCCTGCTCTAGAGTCGACAGGGGACCCACAAGTCCGAGTGGGGTCCAAACCAATCAGTCAGTTTCCCGGAATAAATCTCTGGTAGGGTTCAGGGGAGAGTTGTTATGACCATGGATTAATTCCCCCATAATATGACCATGGACCTAATAGGTCCATGATATGGCCCTTATTTGTGCTTACCATAACAGTGCACCATCCAATTCGAGGCCAACTTTTCACATTGTTGTTGATCTTTTACACAAATCTAACCATGGAAACCGAACCCCGTGACCACCCCAAAATTTCAGGTTCCAAAGAGTTCTCAAATTGGAGGACAAACTAGTAGAGTCATTTTCATGAGATCCGTGACTAATTTTAGGATACCTTTTTTTCTCGATGGATTTGGCAAGATGGACCAATTTAGATAAAATATAGCTCCTATATACCTCCCAGATATGAGGGGGGGGGGGAAAGTCCCGTTTGGGGGCGTTTTCAAAATGGCCACCTGTTGATTTGGAGGCTTGTATCTCGATAAACACTGGTCAGAGAGACTTGATTTTGGTCTCAAATTGTTCACAATATGCATGTTCCTATTTATTGTAATACAACTTTTTATCAAAAAATGGCGGGAAATGCGATTTTTAAAAGTTTGACCTTTGACCTTGTATTGTCATATCTCGGTAACTACTGGTCACAGAGACTCACAATTGATTGCAAAGTGTTCAGGAGATTCATGTTTATATTCGTCTTAATGAAAAAATATTCAAATAGTGACCGGAAACGGTACATTCTGACCTCTGACCTATTGTAGGGTCATTCCATGTCAAATCAACCAGATTTAAAAAAAAAAAAATTCCTTCTCAGATTTTCATGAAACTCCATAAAAATGATCCACTATATTCTTAACCAACAAAAAAACATAGCCTTATAGGATATATGGTTTCCGAGATACTGACTCCTCAAAAAAGGGGCGTGGTTCTTCAAGATGCAATTTACTTTAACTTTGGAAGCTTGTAACTCGAGATTGGTAATAGCTATCAGGATCAAACTTGGTATTCTAACTCACAAATATGGCCTTAGATTAACACTTATCCCTTCCCTTTTAAAGTTATCTGCTCTCAAATTAGCCGCTGTGTTTAACGATGCAAATTTTTTTTTGTGATTTTCGAGGTCACCCTGCGTCCATTTGAGTGGGTATATACCCCTCATATTAAAGATATATTATCTAAGTGTAGTTGTCTCTAGCCACACGCAAGCGCAGGCTGATCAAATCAATTAAAATTGAATGGCATATATTCAAAGTTGGGACCAGATCTATAAAAGTGAAAAACGCCTATGTTTCTCAACAACGGATCGTCATGTTAACATTTAAAATCTTTTCTTAAATTTACCCCAGTTAATCAGATATATTAGAGACTACCTACAAACCAAATTTTAGCTTTGGTAGTCAGCTCCTTAATGGTTAGATGTTGAAAACTACACAATAACATAATCGGAAATCACGAAAGTTTTTAAGAGTTGAGTCATTCTATGCCAACTCAACAAATGCATTACACCAGGGTCATAGATTTTTTTTTTGTACACTGTCTCAGTGATATAGATATCTATGTGAACTGAAAAACCTGAAATTTTGAGACTCGCCAATTCATTCGTTTTCCTGTAGCGGCAGTTTGAGGTTAAGGAGGCGTGGCCTCTCAACAATGCATTACAACATTACAGGTCATAGATTTTTAATTTTTTGCACCCTCCGGCCTTGTGAATAGAAAAACCTGAAGTTTTGAGACTCAAATTCCCTTTTCGATTTCCCGTAGCGGCAATTCGACGTAAAGGGGGTGTGCCTCAAATTAGCTTTGATTTTCGTATGCTAATATCATCAAAAAACCCCTTTAACCTTTTGTGGTGTAGGACACCTTTTACTGCTGATTCTAAATCCTTAAAAACATGTTTTTTAACACATCACCAACAATAATACCCTACTTTTATATAAATATTTTGCTTTAATTTTCTAAATCTATGTCATAGACCCATTCAATTTTCTATGAATTTCAAATTTATTTATCTAAAGTTATTTCTGGTTTAATTCTTAATGTGCAACTTCAACCTGGGGAATAATATAACCTCATCAAATTTGTATTGTGGGTGACGGCCCTTATTATTAGTAAGTCACAGCACATGGCAATTGGGACATCACATACATCATTTTTTGTGGCCAATATATGGTAAATTATTTTCTGGAAACTTTCTATTCTGTTTCATGAATATATTCATGTTCGATTCATGAATAGAAACTTCCTAGAATTCGTATTATATTCATATTTATTTTGGGCCACGCCCCCTTAACTTCAAACTGCCGCTGCAGGAAAATGAACGAATTGGCGAGTCTCAAAATTTCAGGTTTTCAGTTCACATAGATATCTATATCACTGATCCAGTGTGGCAAAAAATATTTAAAAAAAATCTATGACCCATGGTGTAATGCATTTGTTTTTTTGGCATGGAATGACCCAACTCTTAAAAATGTTTGTGAATTCCTATTACGTTGAAATATGTGTAGTTTTCAACATAGTATCTAGCCATGAGCTAAGTACAAAAACTAAAATTTGGTTTATAGGTAGATCCAATGTATCTGATTAACTGGGGTAAATTTAAGAAAAGATTTTAACTTTTCACAAGACGATCCGTCGTTGAGAAACATTGGCGTTTTTCACTTTTATAGATCTGGTCCCAACTTTGAATATATGCCATTCAATTTTAATTGATTTGATCAGCCTGCGCTTGCATGTGGCTAGAGACAACTACACATAGATAATATATCTTTAATATGAGGTGTATATACCCACTCATATAGACGCAGGGTGACCTCGAAAATCACAAAAAAATTGCATCGTTAAACAAAGCGGCTACATCTGAGTGCAGATAACTTCAAAAGGGAAGGGATAACTGTTAATCTAAGGCCATATTTGTGAAATATGGCAAAAAATAAGTTAGAATACAAAGTTTGACCCTGATAGCTATTACCAATCTCGAGTTGACCCTGATAGCTATTACCAATCTCGAGTTACAAGCTTCCAAAGTTGAAGTAAATTGCGTTTGCACATCTTGTAGAACCACGCCCCTTTTTTGAGGAGTCAATATCTCGAAAACTACATATCCTATGAGGCTAATTTTCTTTTTGTTGGTTTTTCATACAGTGGATCATTTTTATGGAGTTTTATCAAAATCTGAGTCGGTCATACAGGAATTTCTTTTTAATCTGGTTGATTTGACATGGAATGACCCTACAATAGGTCAGAGGTCTGAATGTATCGTTTCCGGTCACTATTTAAATATTTTTTTCATTAGGACGAATATAAACATGAATCTCCTGAACACTTTGCAATCAATTATGAGTCTCTATGACCAGTAGTTACTGAGATATGACATTACAAGGTCAAAGTTCAAACTTTCAAAAACCGCATTTACCGCCATTTTGTGATAAAAAGTTGTATTACAACAAATAGGAACATGCATATTGTGAACAATTTGAGACCAAAATCAAGTCTCTCTGACCAGTGGTTAACGAGATACAAGCCTCCAAATTAACAGGCGGCCATTTTGAAAAACGCCCCCCCCCCCCATATCTGGGAGCTATATAGGAGCTATATTTTATCTAAATTGGTCCATCTTGCCAAATCCATCGAGAAAAAAAGGTATCCTAAAATTAGTCACGGATCTCATGAAAATGACTCTACTAGTAGGATTAGCAATCAGAATAACGTTATTCAGGTACGCAAGTTAATAGCTACTTCTGCTAAGACAAGGTAAATTTGAACTTATACTTTGAAAGGCAACTATATTAATCAGCAGTCACAAATATCAACATCCATGCTGCTACCATCAACATCACTAATATTATTTAAAGTTTTTAATATTATTGTAATTATTATTATTTTTTCATTTGTTGTAAAGCACAAGTTACAAACCTTGTTTTAACTGCGCAATAGAAATTTTAAAGCTATTTAAATTATTAAAGCTGATATGTTGTACTACTAGTTGATTTAAAACGTAGGGGTAACCACCCTCCATCTGCTCCCCCTCCCCCAGTTTTTAAATATTTCCAAGATTTTTGTCAAACAACTTGTTTGTCTTTTAGAAATATCAGTTGTACTAAATACAGTATCAATAATGTTTTCACCTCGGAAGCTTGGCTTTAAACACTCCACAAATACAAGGAAGGAATGTCCATATGACACAGATTTTAAAAGTTATATATTGCATTTATTGATTTAATTAAATATAGAAATTGTATTTAAAGAGGGTCAACAATAACATACCCCTCTATCTATTAAACAGGCATACACATGACACAAGTACTTATGTTTACTGTATAAAATAAGTACATAAAATATGGAAAATTGTTTTTCATGGTATAAATACTATCCAAACATATCTGCTGGAACTTGTATTTATTAAAAAGCCTATTATTGTACATCAGTTAAAGTACATAAAATATGGAAAATCGTTTTTCTTGGAATAAATACTATCCAAACATATTATCTGCTGGAACTGGCATTTATCACATCACCAAATACCATAATATTGATCTATGCTCTATGGAAATGCTTTGAGTACTACTGCTGTTCCAAATTTAGAGTGAAAAAACACTTATGACAGGATTCCTAGTTGTTGAAAGATCAACATAATTATGAGACTTGCCATTCCAAAACCACTAATTGTTAAACCGAGTAATTAGCCTAAGAATGTGGTAGTATTGTATACTTTAGTACAGAGAAGCTGTAATACTTTTACTCATAACTTTGGCAAATAGTAGATCGATTCCAGTAAATGACCCATCATTTTAAAGCTTACAATGTAGAGAATAAGAATATATTAAAAAGTCATTTTTTTGGCCATTGATGCTGGTTTTGGGATGGCAATCCTCATATCATCAAGCTGGAAGACTTGAGTTTAGTACTAGTTTTCTTACTCTTACGACACATTTTTTTACATGTATTTATATGAATCACATGATACATTTCACTGATTAATCTCAGATAAGATAGCACAATACTCTAAATATTGAAATGCATGCCATCTTGTCAGGATTCAATATTTCAACATTAATTATGTCATCATCAAGAATGATGATGACATAATTAATGTTAAAATATTGAATCTTGACACAACAGCGTGCATTTTAATACTTGGAGTATGTATTATACTATCTTATTTCGGAATTTGTTATATGCTTATTAATATACTGCACAATATATATATAGCAGAAATTTATCTCTTTATCATACAATATAAGCCAAAATACTGTACATCTAAAACTAGAAACTATAATTTTTTTTAAATAGAGTACACATATTCCACTTAAACAACAATAAAGCTTACAAAGAATTAGGGACATCCCTATTACCATTCCCTTATGGTGATACACACCTCGAGTGATGCTTTGCACCCAAAATATTACTAGAATAAACATGTTTATTGAAAGAACCAACCAGCCATAAAGATTTAGGCCCAGCATAATACAATAACAGAAGGGCTTTTTGAAATGTCTGAGTAATTTTGGTGTGTGAAGCATTTTCACTGTCTTGGAAAGTACTTGTTAGCACCTAAAAGAGAAATAAAATGAATGATAAAATATACATATTTGAATTGTTTAACAATTCTACTGTTTTCCTATTTTGAAAGCCATCTGTTGCTCTTCAGTACCCGAAGTTGTATTTATAATCTCAAAAATAAAGTTATGGGAATAAGAATAAAGATGGCTCTCATTGTATTAACCTATTTTCTACTTGGAGTGTATTTATGTTTAATGTCAAAAGTAACATAAAATGACTAATACAATGGGAGCAATAATGTAAACACTATAAAAAAGAAAAAAAGTCTTTTTTCAAACATTGTATATCTTATTTTATCACCATCATCATTAGCAATATCTGTATTATTATCATCGTCAGTATTATTAACAAAATTTGTGTCTCAATTACCTTGTCCATGATTTCTACGTCCATAATCATCTTGTCCAGGACTACCTTGTCTATGAATCCCTTGCCCAGGACTACCTTGTCCATAAATCCCTTGCCCACCTTGTCCATGATTCCATTGCCCAGGATCACCTTGTCCAGGATTCCCTTGCATACCTTGTCCATGATTCCCTTGCCCAGGACTACCTTGTCCATAAATCCCTTGCCCATGTCCAAGATTCCATTGCCCAGGATCACCTTGTCCACCTAGTCCATGATTCCATTGCCCAGGATCACCTTGTCCATGATTCCCTTGCCCACCTTGTCCATGATTCCATTGTTGTGCCCCATAATGTCCTCGTCCAGAAATACCTAGTCCAGGACTTCCTTGCGATGAATGAAACTCATTAATGTTGGCGTACGGACCAAAGTTAAAGTTTAATCCAACATTGCTGGTATTGTCTACAAAAAACAAAAAAAAACAAGATCAAGAATTATAAATAATGACTATGGAGGGGAATAGGCATCTAATGAAGATGGTGATAAAATTATCAAGATATACAATGTTATATGTTATTTATTATATGCTATATATATGTTTTTATAGTGTTTACATGCTCCCATTGTATTAGTCATCTTATGTTACTTTTGAAATTAAACATACATGCAGTACATACAGTTCAAGTAGAAAACAGGTTAATACAATGAGAGTCATCTTTATTTTTTATTCCCATAACTTCATTTTTGAGATTATATAAATACAACTTCGGGTAATTCTTTGTAAGCTTCATTGTTATTGTTGTTTAGGTGGAATATGTGTACCGTATTTAAAAAAAAATTATAGTTTATAATTTGAGATGTACAGTATTTCTTTCTTGGGCATCATGCTTATATTTTATGATAAAGAGATAAATTTGTGCTACTTATATATTGTGCAGTATTTAAATAAGCATAACACAAATTCCAAAATAAGATAGTATAATACATTCTCAAAGTATCAAAATGCACGCCGTTGAGTCAAGATTCAATATTTTGACATTAATTATGTCATCATCAAAACTGGGCCACTGAGGCTTTCGTCATCTAGCACACACAGGCAGCAGAGTTGGAATTGTTGTATGACGATCGTACGATCGTACGCTCGTCGTACGACGCAGTGTGTGCTCCGCTTAACATACACATATAGTAATTTGTCATGCCTTCTTTTTTTAGCCTGATTGCACATGGTATGAATGAGTCTCCAAATTTACTTGTTCTAATAAACAGAGTTCTTAAAAGTGTATGAGTATATGTGAGGTCTCACTACAAAATGAGTCTCATCGTTAGAAAATCCAAAAATGAGTTAATATTACACTTTGGTAGATCACATTATAAGCTTTAATTTGGTATTTGAATGGCTTCCCTAGGATAAATAGATCCAGAGATATTAGCATTTAAAGTTTAGGTGTATGAGAACCAGGTTTTGAGAAAATCGGCCTCAAAGATAAACTAACCTGTACAAATAATAGGACTAGAATTACAGCTGTCTCTTATACACATCTAGATGTGTATAAGAGACAGGTATATAACAATGGTGTATATGAGTCCTATTACTCGAATTTTTAAATTGTGCTCAGGGGCCAGTTATTTGTATGCAACTCTCAATGTTCTTTCTAGCTTGTTAACCAATATTTATATTAAATAATAATACCTGTCTCTTATACACATCTAGATGTGTATAAGAGACAGGGTGTATGAGAACCAGGTTTTGAGAAAATCGGCCTCAAAGATAAACTAACCTGTACAAATAATAGGACTAGAATTACAGAATATGCGAACACTGTTTTAGTAAGAAAATTCACTTAAAAGTACACAATCATAAAATAGTATCAAGTTATTCAAAAACATTAAAATCAAAATTTTGTAAAAATGTTGCCTTTGACCAATTTTGGTGAATATCTCAATATGATTTCACCAACGATGCGTCTCATTTCGTGGTGAGACCTCACATATGATCTAATAATGATAACCAAAACCAAACACATTTATTGTTTGAAGGTGCGGACAGTGAAGTGATAACATATATGTTGAAGCTTGTGGTACACCACGTAGGTAGTTCGGAAAAGCACTGTTGCAGTTGAGAAAGTCTCGAGGTTTCGATTGAGTTGCTTCAATCGTCTTCAGGAGAATAATATCTGCTTTTAGCCTGATTGCACATGGTATGAATGAGTCTCCAAACTTACTTGTTCTAATAAACAGAGTTCTTAAAAGTGTATGAGTATATGATCTAATAATGATAAGAAAATGTATTGTAGATATTATTCTCCTGAAGACGATTGAAGCAACTCAATCGAAACGTCAAGGCTTTCTCAACTAAAACAGTTCTTTTCAGAACTACCTACGTGGTGTACTGCAAGCTTCAACAAACACATTTACTTTGCGTAGCAAAATTTTTTTTTACTGTGCATTGAAATTAAATTCTAGGAATCAGAATTAGACAAAAATGCCTTACAAATACATGGAGTTCCCTGGAGTTCCTGGGGTCGCCTCTGGAAATGTGGCTGGTTGAAAGGGTGTGGATGGAGGTTTGCTGACTGATGGAAACCAGCAGTTTGGCCTAAAAAAAAGCAGAAAGTGAATGGTTATTCTACTAGCCAACATAGTACTGTAGTAAATACCATTGGCAATACCAATTGTGATCATCAATGTACAGTGAAGGGCCAGTGAAGAGCGTTGTAATTTAGACAAGCAGACTGTCAAGTCAATCTACTGGCGCAAGTAGGAAACAAGACCTACTGTATGGTCTAAAGGGGCAGAACATGTGGTCAAGAGAAAAAGGTTTCCTTACCTATATCGTAAATTGCAAATTGCCACTGCTCTTGGGCAACACTATTTTTTTTAAAGCTTGACACAAACTTGGCAACAAATTTAATTCAATATTATGATTATTCGAAAAAAATTTCATTAGGTTTCCAAATAGTGATAGATAGGTAAATATGGTTTCAATTCATGAATTTACCTATCAATTATGAATATTATTATGATTATCAATTATTATTTTTATGATTATTATTACTACAACTATTAGTATTATGATAATTATTGTGTTTGTTGTCATCATCGCAGCAGCTGCCACCATCACAGTCGTTGTCAATATCATCATTATAATCATCATCATTATTATTGTTTACTAATCATTATCATTGTAATCTTCATTATTATTAGGCCTTGAGATGGATATGAAAAAACAACAAAAACCTAATGTACTCGCACCAGTTGGTTCACCAATTCCTGGATTCCGCCAGTGACTGCTTGCTGGGTTAAAAGTTGATGGGTGTTGACCAGTTGTTGGTCCACTGCTTCCTGGGGTTAAAGTTGATGGGTGTTGACCTGTTGTTGGTCCACTGCTTCCTGGATTCTGCTCTTGAGTACTTTGTGAAGGGTACGCATACTGTTGAGGTGTAGGCCTGGTATTTGCAGCTCCTGCATCGCTGGTATCCACTGGAGTTTCTTCTTTCAATCTCATTACATTTTCGAATGAGTTTATCAGGTCAACGACATTGGTGCATCCGCAGCTTTTAAAAACATTCTGAAATCTAAGTATATGGCTCATACTTCTAGAAAGCTGTTGAGAATTTTCCAAATCGTGAATGATCTCATTCATGGTAGATTCCAAAATATCACCTTTTTCAAAATTATAACACTCAACGATTCCACTTCTAAATTTCTCCATATATTCCTTTCTGCAATTCCTGTCTTTAAAAATCGCTTCAATCTTACTTTTAAGAGTTAAATATTCTTTTTCTGGAGTTTCATGAAAAGCAATAATTTCATTTGCTACTTCATCCAATCCTAATTTGTTCAGCAATACTACCAAACCATTGTAGCATTTCATGGATATGCACTGCTTTTCCTTCTCCAAAAAATAAAGTAAATTATCAGGATCATCATGATCTACACAAGGATAGTCTGGATGCATTCGTTGAATTTCCAGAAAGTGTTCAGCCTTCAGTGATGTACTTAATAATTCAAGCACTTTAACACGTATGTGCAAATCACTTTCCATAATATAATAAAGTGTAAAATCTGTAAAATACAAAATAAAACATGCAATAGTCATCCAGATTCTTAAAGTACATTGATAACACTGATAAACTCCAAGCAAGCAGTACTCAGCCTAATCTTGGATTTTTTTGTCATCAAGTAATTAACCAGGGGCAGCACCACGATTTGCTCAAGAGGAGGGGAGGGGTGGTGTCAGAGGTCCCAGGGGGAGGGCAGATATCCCCGAAAAGGAAAAAGTGGGCATGGTCGGACATCGCTCAAAATCCATTGAAAGTGGTACTGGGAGTGAAGCGAAGCCCCGCAAAAATGACAATTTAGGGGTATCAAATGCTTATTTAATGGTGATAACACAGGTAACTTGCTTCAGGTCAAATGATTTTCTTAATATATTGTTGGGAAAAATAGTTTGGGAATATAGTTTTTGAAGTGTGATCTCCCTGATAATAACACTTATAATTACACTTGGACCAAAGGTACACACATTTTTGCATGTTTTTAAAATGTATTTAGGAACATGGATGGGTCAGCTAAGCACACTACATGTTTTTCAAACATCCAAAAAGCATATTGAATTTGTATTATTAAATAATAATTATTACTATTATTTATATTCATTATTTATTATTATTATTATTGTTGTTGTTGTTGTTGTTAATGATATTATTGCTACTGCTGCTGTTTTTTTAGCCTCATTTTTACCATATGTTCGTAGTACACTTAAGTGTTAAGGGCACATAGAAAAAATTATTAGATATCGCTCTTTTTTTTTTAATCGATGAGGGAGGGCGGTTTTTTTTTTTTTTTTTTAAATCAGAATAGATTATTTTGCTTCTGTTTTTATCAATGAGAGAGGGACTGTTTATATTTGGCTAGTAATAGTAAATATTGCATAAAAAGTGGTTTAATATTATAGTTTTTTAAAGAAAATGTATTTGAAGTCACAAAATTGTATTGTTGTTATGCTGTTAATAATGATGCGGCAAAAAAAAAAAAAAAAAAAAAAAAATTTCCCGCAATATTTAATAATTTTTTACGCGGGCGGGAGTGATACTATCTAATAACGATACATTTTCCTATTTGCCCTTATAATTAATTTATTTTTTTTCGCGTTTTTACTTTTTTATGAAAAATTGTTTAGCATGTTTTGGTCTAGGCCTAGCTAGCCTAGCCTAGGCCCCTATATTGCCGTTTTGGTCTATTGCCGTTCTGGTCAAAAAGTGTTGCCGTTTTGGTTTTTTTGCCGTTTTGGTCACTGTCGTTTTGTCCAGAAACCGGAAAAGAGACCACATTTAGCACAGGTACGGTACAGCAGGGAGTTGTTATATATTGTCACTCCCTGGGTACAGGCAAGGCTTAGCCCCTCAAACCAATCTCAGCGTGGCCACCTTGCTGTAGAAGCCTAGCCCCTTTTTAATTTAGAAATGTTTACGGTCAGATGTAACCTACCTACCCTAGGCTCAATTTAATAATCTGATCATCTGGTATTTCTTTTTTTAATAGGAACCAATGTAATAACACTTACACTATTTACATTACAGAAATTCTTCACAACAAACTTAATTGCGCAAGTGTTGTTTAATAGCTCTATGGCGGAAATGGACAAAAAGGAATCGAGTATGGGACGGCAAATAAATTAGGTATGGCGCGCAATAACCGACACAGGCTAATCCATCAGGGGCGGATTCAGACATATTTAAGTTTAGAAACCCTTTGACAACTGATTCTTGTCAAAGATATTTTTAAACTCTAAACTTAAGTCAAACATCCCACCACCCCCAACTGATACCCAAAATCGACTTGCCAACCTTCAAAATTGCTTTATTCACCGTAATTCCACTAAATTCTATGATGATCCATTCCTTGATTTTTGCGTAGACTTGCTAATTAACAAACAGAATAACGGAGGAATTGATGTAAATGAAAATCACTACATGAGAACACGATTTATATCAGTAAACTCTCATACTGTATTTTAATTTTATTTTAAAAGACATGACTTTTCCTGCTGTAATCCTAATTGCTAAAATAAAAGACTAAAACAATCATTAATGTCAATAGTTATTAAATAAAATTAATATTTCAGTCTAACATATAATATCATGCCATTGCGCATCACATTATTACACCGATCAAACTCCCATGGAACACCTTAAATGATCTAAAGTTAAACAATCCAATAAGCTATCTTGAATAAGCATACCAAACATCACTGTTTTCATTGAACATGTTCCTCTATGTTACCTTTTTCACGTATTCAGTTGGACTATCTTAGGTCCTACATCATCGTAAATAAACATTTTTAAAAAACTGCTTGTGTCTTCATTGTTTTATTTATTTTAACACTGTACATATTGAATTCCCTATTTCTTAGAGTGTTTCATTACACACAGGGTAATATATACTCTCGATTAAGCAGGCAGCACTAATTCGAGAGTGGCGCTAAGCTAAAAAAATCAGGTATGGCGCGGCGCTTATTCGAGGCGGCGCTTATTTGGTAGATGCACTAAGGCTCAATATTATTATTATCATTATTATTAGAAATTATTTTATTTATTAACAAGTTCATAATTCTACCCAACATGTCTTAATGTTCATGTTCAAATAATCAACCAATTTTTCAGAGATTAAATATTACAACGCTGCATGAAGTCAGATAAGCAAATGTACAACCTTGTACTTTTTAAACCCTTCAATAATTTGGAATAATTGTTGCACTGAAGTCTCCAAAGATTTGATAGTGCCACTGCAGGTATTTGTTCATTTACGGTATATCTAGCATTGGCATCCAAACCTTTCTATCAGGTACTTGCTGACTTTTCTACTTAACTGACCAATCAGACCAGGGGTCAGGAATATAATATATGCATGTCACAAAGTTTACAAATGTTTATGCCATTGTTTTGTGGGACCTTAACTAACCCACCACCAGCAAAGGGACCGTGCTTAGTGGAAACATCCATCCTACTTCTTGATAAGACACAGAGATGCCCCACAGGTTAATTAACTTTTTGATAAAGGTTATTAGTGGAAATGCCATCATTTTTCTTGGTGATATTAATAAGACACAAAGTATCTTGTCAATACGGACATACCATTATCAGCATCGGACTCAAACCTCAGATCTTTTAAATAAAAGCCAACAGCTTTATGTTTCACCACAGGCTTATTAATACTTTTTAGTCCCAGAAGTCTTAAAAAACAATTACTGTACTTCAACTGAATGCTAATAATTGAATTTGTCTGCATAGCGTAACCAGACAAACATAATATTGCTACAACAATTGGCATTTTTTGGTTGTATCAATAACAAAACAAAATTTAATCTATTAATATTCTAGTTGTTTAATAGAGAAGAACCATAGAGTTCTGCACATTAGTCTTTTCAGCAATGGAACAGTACAGTACTGAACATCTAACATGTTATACTTTCAATACTAAAGTCATAGTGTCGCGAAGCTAAGTGTGGTCCTCCTAGCCTTCATAAATAGACTAACCTCACAATCTGCTCATGCCATAGCATGATACGAACTTTCATTACCATATCTGGTAAAAAAAACTAACAAAACAGTCTAGAATTTTAGTAACAATTGTAAAACAAATCAAATGATAAGATAGTATAAATCAACTTAGTATATCACATTTCATTCATGTTAAGGGTTGTTTGTTTCTCAAAGGTAGCTTTCCATTATCTTACCACACTTGAAGCTAAATGAAGTTGTTTGATTAAACTTAATGATGAAACAAGCCAAGAAATCTAGTGTCGATGGTAAAACAAAATAATGCAAAAGCCAACACAGACATTGTCGTACAATGCAGTCTGACAGACATGACATAATTTATTGTTGGGGACAGTCTTGTTCGTCCAGAGAATACTAAACATGTTCTACTGATATTCTATGTCATGACTGCATTTAATTCACACAAGCTGCATCATACAACAATATCTGAGTTCGCCTTAACATTTCACATTCCAAAAAGTTATTGACAATGTCATTTTTGGTTTTGGTTTAGATATGTTGCTGTCATTTGGTCAAACTTCAATACAGTTAAACCTGTCTAAGTCGACTTTGCCTAACTCAAATAATTTCTAAGTTGAACTTATTTCACAAGCCAAATTGTTGTGTTTTCCATTAATTAACAATCTGTAAGTTGAATTTTATCTAAGTCGAACAATTTTTCAATGGCATTTTGGATTCGACTTAGGCAAGTTTAACTGAATACACAACAGGTTTTGCAATTAACACTGTGCATATTAGTATATTATTTACGTCACGTATGGTAATAACATTCGATAATACTGTAAACAACGCATGTTCTCTCTGAACAACTTTCAATAAAAAAATTTAAAAAAAAAGCAAACACAATCCGTAACTATTTATCCCTGCATTTGGGTTAGTTGAGTTTAAAATTTGTTATTCTTATAAATTTAAAATTGTAAAATTCAGGTATACACTTAATAGTTAATTGGACAATGTTTCATGAAGTTAGTTGCAATGCAAGACTGTTATTTACAACATAAAAATCAGTTTCTTTTTACTTTCACGATTTCACAGGACAGTCACCTGCGAGTAAGTCCTGTGAAGTCACGACCATGGTTCTACTGGAATGCAGCCATACATGAACATAGTACAAAAATATTAACAATTCAGATTTAGGTTATTCTAGTAGTGTATATATTATTAAGAGCTTCAGCTCAGCTAGTAATTACATAATGCATAAGCTATGAAATCAGGATATTTTTAACTAGCATAATATTCAGGATAACATCTTAATACCAGGCATTCAAACTAAAAAAATGTGTAAACTGAAACACAAATGCATTATCACGTTGGACATACCCACGTTACCAATAGAGTGATACCAGGTGTATATCGTATTTACACATATCAAAAATGTATGGGAGGAGTTTGAGTTTCATTCACTTAAACTGACAGTGAACATGGATCAAATGCCATCCTATATAAAAAATTACTTGGAAATATAAATGTATTGTTTTCATTGAGCATGGAATCTAGCGGTGATTTAATTAATTAGCAATACTTAATATTTAACCAATATTTTTGTTCAAATGCGCACGTTGAATAAGCAATTTGTCACAAATTTAACGAGTTAAATATAGTTGAAATTTCAATGACCTAAGCATCAGCATATGTCAAGAACAGTAAACCGAGTCAAGGTCAATGCCGTTTATATTTCTGGTTCCGGTGTGTTCCTTGATTGTCCTATACTGAATGAACCCAGAAGGTACTACCAGTCATTTACACTGACCACAATTATAGATTTTTCAAGTCTGGGTGTTAGAAAATTCCAAGTAGTGTCTAGAGTTTTGCTTGGCCCATGTAAAAATGGGGGCATAATGGCTAGCGTAACATAGTGGATTGAGTAATCACATCTGGCACATTTCGTTGCATATACACGTACTACGCGTGGCAGGCCTTCCTATTAATTCAACTGTGATTTCCATTGTCCTCCTTCAGTGGTTAAAATTTAAAAACTCATAAAAAAGAATATAAGCCTGGGCCTTCAAAACCTTGGACTCTGCAACTTCCGTGACTTGAGAGTCGCTCACATAGAACCATTTACCTTTGGGTGGTGTATCTGTATCTCTTGTGGTCTCACCATTAATTTTATTACTGTCCTGAGCAGTTGGGGAGTGTTCAACTGCATTGGCATTATGATTACTGCTATTATTGTTCATCTTCGGATTCCCATTTGAACTATTGGCCTGATTTTTCTTGTGACTACTCTGAGGTATGCTTAAAGTGTATTGTAGAAGATCTGGATTACTTGCTCGAACCTTTACATATGCAGTGTAGTGACCAGAATGAAGTCTACCACTATGTTCAACAACACCGTAGAGGGCGTACATCACTCTGTCTTTGCTATCTGCAAATTGCTGTAAGTCAAAAATATTATAATGTAATAACAATATTAGTCTTATGTTGCACATTTACTGCAAAAAAAAAAATGCTTCACCATGTTACATAAATGAAGACATGAAAGGAAAGAAGAAACCACCAGAAGTAACAGGTGAACTGGTAAACAAGAAACCCACCAGTTTATTAGAAGACCTATACCAAGAATCAAACCATAACAATAGTAATGTAGTTGTGAAAACACAACTCATTCCTGATGATGACATAATTGAATTCCAACACGATGACATATATTTCAATACTTTGGAGTATGTATTATACATTCTTAACCGAGATTTATCAGTGGACCTTTCAGTTTGTGAACACACAGCACTGAATGAAGTATGTATGTATGTATGTGTTGAGCTATTGCGAAACCAAACTAAAAAAAAATTCCTAAGTTTCATGTAACATTTTTATGTGATTTGGTCATAATGTATGGGCATGACAATGCCATTTAAGGCTTGCCATTCCAAAACCAGCATCAGTAACTAATAATTGAAAATTGACTTTAATTTTCCACATTGAAAGCTTTAAAAATAAAATGATGAGTCATTTACTGGAATCAACTTACTATTGCCAAAGTTCTGAGTAAATGTATTATGGCTTCTCTGTGCAAAATATACAATACTGTCGCATGTAAATCACATGTCTTATGCTAATTACTTTAACATTTAGTGACGGTACGCTGGCTTTGAAATAGCAAGCCTTATATCACACCCATATATGGTATTCATTACATAACTGTGACAGTAGACAGAGCTTTCTTGGGTGGCAGTAGTAAACATTTATTATGCACAAAGCCAGTTGGTTCACGACTTGCATCAACTTATCCTACTGTGTATGATTATAAAATATGGATAGCTAATATCATTCTCATATATACTGTACGATAGTTAAGTTTTTTTTCTTGCAGGCCTCATTTGCATCAAGCGTTCACTTTTTGAGGTCTTGCCACTCCATATTCTGTGTATTATGTATGAGTGAAATAAAGATTGACTGATAGATTGATTGATTGATATTATATAGTTATAAAGAAGTTATATCACACCACTATATTGCCAAATTTCAGGTATTTAAATAAAAAAACAGATATTTATACATTTTTGTTGAATTATGTTTATTGTATTTTAGGAACTTACACAACAGTTTGTGCTGCAGAATGGAGCAAGGTCCAACATTAATGGAAAATCCACTTGCCTGGTTACCTTACGAAGATTAAAACCATTCTATACAAAATACAAAAAAAAAGGAGAGATAATGAATTGAAAGGAATATTACAATATTTCTCTATAAATATAATTTAAATGAAAATAATCAGTTAATATGTCCACACACCTGCATAAACCGTTTAATATGTAAAGTTAGAATGGAAGGCGGTCGTTGAATTAGCATCTGCTTGCTAGCATCTTGGTACACAGTTTTCCCTGAAGAAAAGAAAAGAATATAGCTATATTACATTATAGTAAGGTGATAATTTAAAGGTGATTGATTAACTGCAGCAGTTGCTATTATAATAAATACGGATAATTTTGAATTTACTGCTCAATTTGCATAATCAATCGTTGGAGTGGAGCTGTAGTTTTATGGTTGAGATGCTTGCCATCCAATCCGAGGGTCCTGGGTTTAATTCTCGAGAATAAAAACAATTCCACTTACTAAGCCTTGTAAAGCACCTTGACTAATCAGTAATTTAAATAAACTCACCGGTGCCTGCCTGCTCAGTGCAAATTTCACACCCAAATCTGTTAGAGCCTGTTAACAGCTCAGGCAGTGTGAACTGCTGAAGGCATGTCTGCACGGAACATTCATTTGTCTTTGCCTCGTAGCGACGCATACTGCTAACGCTCTTTGATCTCCTTTTCACAATCTGTTGTTTTTCCGGACCACCACATGCCATGCTTGATTTACTAGCTTCAGAATCGTCCCCTTCATCGAAGACAGAATCATCCATGCCATTAGACGGCTCAGCCTCATTTGCCGGACTACCAGTCGCGCCGGTGTTTTGTACATTATTGCCCTCTTCTATTGCATTGTTTTCGTCCGAATTCTTACTAATGTTCAAATCATCACTTTCGTTAGATAACGGCTCCTTGGAAGTGTTTTGTTCTACATGCTTAGCATCAGATGTTGACGTCAAATCATTTACCAATTTTATTTTCCCAACAGGATCCTCTTCGCTTTCCATCTCCGCAGAATACCCATTTGGCTGGGAGGAGTTTCCTTCATCATAAAGTTTCAGATTTGAAAATTTATTTACAAGCTCAATATCAGCGGCCTGACTACTGCTCTCTTCAGCATTTTTAGACTCTAAGTGTTTCGAATTATCCTCGATCCTCGCTGGTATATCCAAATGACTTACATCAGATAAATTACCAGGGTCCATTGTTTTGTCCATTTTATTTTTAAGGCGGGGATCCAGGGATGTTTCACTATCGGCATCATTCGGATCATAGTTGTCATTGCAATGATCGGTCTCATTTTCGGATTGATTGTTCCCATGTGACTCTTCTTCATTTTTATTCCCACTTCCTTTCTTCGAGCACTAATTTAAAAAAAAAGAAAGATATCAAGAAATATACATTTAACAGTTTTTGCGAGATTTGTAGAATTGGAATTTAATGATGATATATTTACATGGTAAGGAAAAACACCTATAACAGGAGATTGGTTAAAAACCATTTTTTTTGCGGTGCCAAAGCATAGTGACATCTTGAAATTATGGTCGGTCAGTATGTTTATTTTTTGTCCGTGTACACAAAAGGTTTATCACTACCCTGTACTCTTACAGTAAGGTTGTGTACCCAAAAGCTATCACCACCAGTGGCGTAACGATGAGTCAGGGGCCCAGTGCGAGAAAATGCTGCATTTAATTGATCAATTATGGGTGGCTGAGGGGTGCCGTTCATATTAGAATATCAAAAAATATGTAGCCTGTTATATTACTGTAACTGGATTCAAATTCTCTGTGAAATCCTGTAGCCCATTACTTGATTTGATAGCTTTTGGTGTCTTCTTCACCATGTCAAGGCTCTTATTAAATAATGGTAGTGTTTATTATTAGGAGTATCCTCTGGGCTCCAAAGGGGCCCCTAAGAGGCATTGTACCCCTGAGAGCCCATCACTCCACTGACCACCACCCTGTCTTCCTCTCTGTTACAGGACTGACTTCTGTGAAACAAAGTAATCTTACCTTAGCCTGCTTGCGAGCTTGCTTTTTTGCTTTGTTTATTTGGTGTTTACTTGGTTTATCCTCTTTCTTATTCTGTTTTTCATCAGCCATACTCAGCAAGGTAGGTTTCCTTATCTGAATACATAAATAATAAATATAAAAAACAATCAATACAAATCTAACTAAGATCTAAGTTCAGTCACTCCATGAAGTTCAAAACTCTGCCCTCAGCCTAAATACCGGATATTACATGCACATGCGTTAATGGGCGATTCAAACATTTTCTTTTATGCTTGAGCAAAATTTTTCTTATTTTTGTGAACTTGACCTTGTTCGTTGACCTTTTCGCTCCAAAATTTAATCTCTTTATAGTTATATGTCCCACTTTGCTGAACTATATGATGATCCACTCATTACTGTTTTAAGTAATGTTGCAGGCAAACAAACATTGATCCCATTTTTCTAACGTAATTATTGTGATGATGTATCTTAATTTTTTTTGTAAATTTTAATTGCTGATTTAATTTGTGTTTTGATAACTAGTATAATGCAAGCTTTTTTTGTTTTAGTACACTTTGATGGTAAATTATTAGGTTTTAAAAATGCCTATTCCAGAAAGCCTATTCTAAACCATTAAGATTATGAAGTCATTCAGGCATAATGACCGCTCTACCAACATCAGGTTGACAACACTTATTGTTGTTACGACACTTGTACTATACCCTATATGTCTTGTCTCACCTTTGCCTCTGAAATTGGTAGAGAAAGATCCAGGAATGCCTCATGTACTTCAGATATCTACAAAATAAAAATAATTATATTTTCTTAACAACACATATCTACATCAGAAAGCATTGATTATATACAATTATCTCTTGGTCATTGGATACAGAATCAACCATACACAACAAGCAACCCCTTCTCATCCCTGATAATTCCTTGTAATGCAGTTACAAAATCACTACCAATTTCACTCCTTCAACCACATTTTCTCATAAGTGGAGAGAGACAATCAAAAATATGACACAAAAAACTTTTATCTGAAAGAAAAGTTACATAAGAATAAAAGATAAAATAAATAAATAATAGTTGTAGATTCAGCATACTAACAACTAACGTCCCACCAAGAACCAATTCATAAATAATAACAATATCAATAATATTGGTAATAACATCATAACTATATTAACAATAAAATGTGTAATAAAACATTAGCCTGAATGTGTTCTACTAAAGAACAAAAATGTTGGTTAAAAGGAAACCTTCAGATGAAGACCATAATCACTAGAATGAAACCTTTTGTACCAATTTTTTTATTTTGTTGAGAAAAATTACCTGCTTGCATTTCTGACAATGCACTGCACTGATGAGGTAACCACCAAACACACTGTCCACAAACGTATGCTTACACATTGTACCATAGTCTGAAAGATTCAAAATACATTGTCAATACTTACAGGGTACAAAATTAAATAGAAACTTTTCCCGAGCCATGCGATACATTGCACAATAGACCGATTCCGCAAGGTGTGTTTATAGCTAGTCAAGGGACATATAGTGGGTGTGACTATGGAAAACTTACAGTGCGATCAGTGTGAAAGTATAGGAAAAGGTAATGTTATGGTTGCGAAACAACCGCTTACTATTAATGTGAGAAAGAACTGGCAAGGAAAGGCACTACGTTTGTTCAAAATAGTGTTCATTAATACTTATTTTCTGTGCTGTGTATGCTTTGGAATTTATGTGATCCTTCGTAAATCTTAGCCTACAAATCGTAGCTTGTACAAAATTGCAGTTCGCGGATTGAAGACTCTCGTACATACAACAGGCCTTAGATATGCAATAACAGTTATTCTGGTTGTAAAAAAATTATGTAACAACACAATCAACACTTTTTTAAGTTTGGAAATCTGTTCCGAGTTCATTGTTCAGGAGGTGAGGTGAACAACATACTAAATTATTACCACTGATATTGATGATAGCTAGGCATATTTTTATCAATGAATATGTTCCTTACTTTTAATCTTGGCCCTTGTTTCAGAGTCAACATTATCTGGTTTCATACTCCTTTTCATGTTAAATGAAGCTAGAATTCCATCCTTCATTCTCTAAGTAAAGAAAGAAAACAAGAACATTATCATAATATTGATTCACACTACAATTTTAGCTTGGTTCACACTACAGAAATTTAAGCTTGGTTCACACTAGAGCATTTTATGCTTGGTTCACACTAGAGCAATTTAAACCTGTTTCACACTAGAGCAACTTCAAGCCTGTTTCACACTAGAGCAACTTCAAGCCTGTTTCACACTAGAGCGACTTAGGCTTGTATCACACTGGAGCAATTTACATGTGTTGACACAAATGCAAGCATGTGGGATTAACAGTCTAAGTTGTTATAGTGTGAACAAAGCCTTATCATCATATGAATGAACATCTTACTTTAAATTCTTCATTCTTCATTCCATCTAAAAGATAACGCAGAAGTTCATGACTGTCTTGTTGCTGGTAACCTTTGAACCTTGAAGCTCTATTAATAAACAAAGAAAATACTTGTAACATTTACTCAAAGTCTTTTTTTTTTTAGCAGTGGTCAGAATTTAGTTGTAGTTCGTGGAGTACCTTTATGTGAAGGTATGTGTCAGAGAGGCCATGAGTTCAAGTAGGAAGTTGATCAGATTGCTGAACAAATTTGTATATAATTTTCGTTTAATATCTTATATACAACTTTAAATTAGTCAATGAATACAATTACACAGGTAATGAAAATACTTACTTGTCGCATACTTTGTTGAAAAGGTCCCTTGGATTGACAGCACAGCTACGGCTAGTGTCGCGCATCTTGTTAAAGAAGAGAGCTAATGCCTGTGTCAAGGGATTTCCCTCAGGTAAATGTATTTTCAAAGTATTCTAAAAAATATTTAAAATAATATTTGATGCGAAAGGAAGAAGATCTACATTTTTCATTATATTTATTTTTCTATTCTCAAGGATCAAATATCAAGTAACCAATACTGAACTTAATCACTTTAAAGTAGCAATTCCTTTATAAACCAGGCAGGCACACAGACTACTCGACACAAATTTAAGTCCCTTTATGACACTTAAAGAGTGGAGTTGTTTTTGGTCGTGAGAAAAAATCCTGTCATTTAATAGGAACAGAATGCAGAACCAAATGCTCATAACATTTTAAGCCCAATACTTTAAGTTGAGGTCCTTTTCCATTGCCTGTGAACTATATTAAATTATTGTATATATATATTTGTTGAAATAAAGTTTATTAAACTTGAAAAAAAAATTATTAAATTTAATTCATCTAAATAAACATCATAGAGGATTTTAAGGTATGCGTAAATGGAATTTGAGCGACATGCATTTCAGTTGTACTTACAATAAGTTGCTTATCCGATTGGTCTTCTAATTCTTCTTCCTCTTCTGAGGAATATGCAATGTCAAGTACCAACTTAGTTTCATAGGGTATAGTAATTTCTCGCGCCATCCACACCTTGTCAAGGACATCCTTAAGTACATACGTCTGATTTAAGATCTAAAGGAAGCAATAAGTCTGATTAATAAATAGAGGTTACTTTAAGTATGACGACATAATCATACCATTGTTGTAACTATTATAAAACACTGTTTATTTATAACGCATGCTAATATGTATAACGCAACACGGAATGCAGACAAGATGTTCACTAGTCTAGATCGACAACTATGATTCTACACCGTGGGTAAGAATATGTTTTACAATATGAAGCCTGCCATTCCAAAACCAGCGTTCTGCCACTAATTGTTAAACTTATTAATTAGCGTAAGAATATGCAGTATAATAGTTTTACTCATAACTTTGGCAATAGTAATTAGATTTCAGTAAATCATTTAAAAGCTTACAATGTGGAGAATAAGAATAATATCAAAATTTAAATTTTCATTTTTTGGTCACAGATGATGGTTTTGGGATGGCAAGCCTCAAATATTATTATGCAAATAGGTTATAAAGTCCATTTGAATGGAAAATTGGATATACATTTTAAAGTTAAAGAGACACATTTGTTAATGAATCTATGTAGTCTGTTTATAAATGTGTAGAAACCACTATATCACCATCACCCTCCGACATCATCTGTCCTGGGGAGTCCTGTACATGTATAAAATTTGTATCTTACTGATTAATTCATTCAGTGTAAGTTGGAGGAAGTCAAAGGCAAAAATTAATTAAGTTAAAAATTATTTTATTATAATATATTGAGGGCATACGGGAGAAGAAATCTAGCCATTTCTAATTTCTAACAGACATCAGGCGTAAAAAAAAAAACGAAACACGTCATCACTCAGCTACTGTACAACTTCAATTTAAAGAATAAATAATAACAACAATGTAAGTAATGTAAATATTTATTAATGTGGTTATCTCTTACCTGCATGACAGCATTGAAGAAACAAGTATTGCCAAGATTGCTCAACCCCTGTAAAATTGATTAACAATCAACAATTAATACTTAATCCAAAAAAAAATTAAAAAAACAGACAGAGTATCCCATCAGATTTGTTACCAAGTCTAACACCCATATATTCCTTTCTCCTCCCTCAGAGTAAGTGTAGAAATACAACACCAGCCACACATCATATTGATAAAAAATGATAAACCTAAATGTTTTACGCATATTTTTGTTGATGTGACTTCTGAATTACGTTACCTTGACCTTTACTGGTACATCTGTCTTTCCAATGTTGATTGTTTTCTTCAAAGCTCCATCTTCTGGTTTTGATTCTTGTTTTTTCTTCTTCACTGTTAATTAGATAGATTGATAAATTCCTATTACAAACTATTCAATGGTATACAAATAATGAATGTTTATGAGTGTAATGGGAAGGATATGTTCATGATTTTAAAGATTGACAGTTCCATTCAACAAGGCAGAGCCGAGCTGAATGGATTATTCACTTTGTAACACACCTAAAATAGATTTAAGAATCTATTTTAGGTGTGATTCTTAAATCTACCTTTTTTCTAAATGGAGCGAAATGGATGGAACGAAAATGCATGGATGGAAGTAAAAATGCACGGTGGAAATAAATTTCTATGAGTGACGAAATGGTGTAAATAACCAATGTCACATGATATGAAATCCAAAATGACAAGGATCTATTTAGGTGTGTTATAATTGCTGCCATTTAACAGGACATCTAGAATATAAATTGTCAGGAGTGTTGACAGTAGTGAGCATTTGTAACATAAATGTATGTGTGCTTACTTGAAGGTGTTACTTTGGAAATTGCTCTCATCTGTTTATTGACAAATTGCAGACATTCCTCTAGTTTTTTGTGGGCATCTTGAGGGACTTCTTTATCACACTCATAACACCTAAGTAAGAAAAAGACCCCTCAATATACTTATACTTTAATAGTAGTAATAATAATAGTGAAAGTAGCAGAGGCAGTAACAGCAATAGCGCTGCGTTACAGAAAAATGTAGTAGTAGTAGCAGTAACAATAGCAGCAGCAGCAGGACAGTACTAATTAGTATTTGTATAATAGTACTGTAGTAACAATGGTGTAGTACTGTACAGTACCGTAGTAATAGTAGTAGCAGCAACATAAAATAATTTACCTAAATTATGTTTTACATACAAGTGTTAAAATCATGGTACTATAGATAAAGTAAACAAACTAAAAATGATGAAAAAAAAACTATATTTTTTTTGCAACACAATGAACAACATGAATTGTTGAATCTCATTTTGTGGTAGATGGCGACATATTTCCCTGCTTTGGTTTTGGTACTGTTGTCAGAAATTAAAAGAAGCTTACCAAACAACCCATGTGTAGATATTAACAGTTAGAGAATGAGATCCAGAATGAGGGGTATTGTAGTGCTTCAATGCATGTTGATTGGTAGAATATCGACCGCAGCCCTGAGAAATAAAAAAAAATTAGCAGAGTTAATAATGTGCAACAGGAAAATAAACTAAGTTATTAAATAGGTTGAAATAACTGGGTGTTTGGACCTGCGAACTCTGTGAACCCACAGGACCTGCACACCTAGTCGTAGATTGGTAGTACACCAACGAAATATATTCTCTGATATTTTCAGAACAGAGTACGGACCATGCTGTACACTCACAAATTCTTTATGGTCTGGACATAGTCCACTTTATCATTCTTTTTCATCACACCACAAATCTCCTTTTATACTGACAACACTGTCAATCACTTTCTGGTTACATGTTATTAGGATGTTGCATGTTCATAGTGGTGAACACTCTTTTTTATTTACAATTATTATTTTATCTTGCTCTGTTATTTACTTTATGGTGTTTGCAAACCAAACAAAAAAAATGATGGTGGGTAATAAAACAGCCACTTTAAGATGACTTCAAAACGCTATCAGTACATCCCACAGGGCATCCTCATGTTTAAAAGTTGCTTCAACTAACCTGGTAGCCACATGCTAAACAAAGCCACACTCCAGCTTCCTGGCAACTTTCTGCATCATTCGTGTCAGATTTGTCTTTGGTACATTCCTGAAATTGAAAAAAAAAGCATAAAATATCAATGTACATTAATTGAGAATGTTACAAATACTTTGCCATGTTCGTTATGCACCGAATTGCTTCAACCCATTCAAGCACGTGGGCTGTGGATTACCAAGCAAGGCCGATTGGACATAATGCAAGTGTGCATCACCGAAGGATGTGTGATGTGATAGCGATGCATACTAAAGCCAAGCCTGCAGCCAGTTAAGAGCTCAATATATTTTTATGGATTGGATTGGATTTATTCGGTGTAAACACCAAGGATAACCCACAAAGTCTAGAAGAAGACTTATTTCCAGTGGGGTCCTTCTGGTGGTGATTGGGTAGTACACCGGGAGACAATTCCCCTACTCTTTTCCGAAGAGTGTACTGCGTTCTTTAACGAGCACATGGGCCATAATGCACATGGGACCAACGGCTTAAACGTCTCATCCGAAAGATGGTGCGCTAGTAACTTGTATTACAGCCCTCTAGCTGAAACACAAGGAGAGGCAGCGATGAGAATTGAACCGGGGACCTAGAGATCACCACGGTTCAGCGCACACACAGCGGCTACAACCAGATTAGCCGACTGAGCTAAGCTGCTCTCGTCATCATTATTTAACATTGGGTATCCATTCATTAGATGCACTTAATAAATTTATTTTGATTTTGATGTGAAATGGTAGCATCGTATACACTAATGACAAGTTATAGTAACATTGTATACTTGAATGTGAAATGGTAGCATCTTTATTTAATGCTGTATATTCATATGTTACATGTACTTAAAATAATGACATGACTGTTGATGTGAAAAGGGAGCATCGTATATTGATATGTGAATGTATAATTATATAAGGTTGAGAAAAAGAGACTATGAAACAGTGAGTTGCCAAGTACTAAAAATACTAGATGGCAATGGTTACTCATAGCACAATCTTTTTTTCTTGTCAAACTGCAGTGGCGGATAGGGTCACTTCAAAAAATGGAGGGCGATACTCAGCTCCACCATGGATGGGGCTGAGGTAGGAAAATGTATGATTATGGCACATTTAGATGGCCAGAAAATGGTACAGTACTCTCACACAATTTGAATCGTAATTTTTAATTTTTTTCTCTCTCCATTTTTTGGTTTAATTTTGGAAAATTTAGGGGCCTGAGATGGCTGCCCCCACCTCCCTTGAATCCGCCAATAAACTAGGTCTCAACAAACTGGCCTGTTAAAATTTTTATGGGGAGGGCTTGTCAACTTACCACACATGCTCCGATAGCTGCATTTTTTAGGGTCTTTCGTATTTGACTTTGACTCACTGCTTTAGCAACATGTTCACAACCTGCAATAATCATTAAAACAATTTAATGGGTGCAAAAATAATCACTCTAAAAATTTAGTATGTTTTGCAAAAATAAAAATGGTAACTTGTCAAGAAAAAAATATCTGCTCATTCTAATGGTAGCAAAAATAATAATAATTTCAATTTAAAAATAGTGCCTGTAAATAATAACAAACAATAACAACAATAATCAACTACCTGTACAAAAAAAACTACAAGACTAGGCTTAAGCTCATCCAAACTATACGTATCAAAGTTTATGTGACAAAAAAATGTGATATACCCATATTTAGGTGTATGACATCATCATGCCTATACAGCAAGTATATGGGCACTAGGCCTGCTCTAAAATTTAGAAATTTTTTTTCAATGATTTTAATTCATAGTGTGATGGATATCCTATTCGTTGTATACTGTAGTGTAATAAGAATCTGTCTCATTGTTTCCTCTTAACCAAGCTGGTTCTAATCAATTCTGGGGGATTCCCCCAGGTATTTCTTTGGGTTTTTCCATATTTTACTAGACTGTTACAGTTAACCAGATCTCTAGTCTATTTTTAGGCTAGTATGCTACCTGGTAGTATGACTCAACTACTGTATCCCCACTACAAATACAAACATAAAATGTAACTTACATGCCAAAATAAATTGAATAAAATAATAAAACATTATCAGGTACTGTATACTATCACTATTTTCTTTTCTTTTTTTGGTATGTTTTAAGTAAGTTATTAAAGACAGATGCCATCTGATATGTTTTGAGGAGAACTGGTTTTTCTATACACACGAAAAGCATATTTGACGAAAAAATTGTGAACAGTTAATGAGATACAGATTTTCGGTTATTTATAAAAGTCGCCGTAACTTCCGCCTTTTCCCCCAGTTTTAAATTATTCAAAAATCTGTATCTCATTAACCATTTTTCGTCAAATATGCTTTTTTGTCTTAGAAAAATCAGTTAACATACCATGGACATATTTAAAAAATGGTTTTTCCCTCCGGTGCCTGACCTTAACTTCAAATTAAATACTTTGAATTTTTATTTTTTGTTTTTTACTCTTTGAAGTGACCACTCTTACTTTTTTTTTCTTATATTTTTTGAAAGTTTAAAACTTTATACAATTGAAATTACCATTAATACTAGATAGTACAGTACTTGAAATTTGTTTGTGTACTATGAAGTAATCTGCTTTAGAGTGATTACCACAGCATAGACAGTGCCTTTCTGATTCATCTACAGTAATAATTTTGAATACTGTCCTTTTTGTGTAGAAGGACCCATTGTCCTGAATAAAAAAAAAAAAAAATCTGACCTATGACCGAGTCTGGAGCTTCTTCATCACTTGAGAGTCTGTCTTTACAAATTTTATCCGACTTCTTTCTTTTCTTACCCATCTCAATATCCTCATCTACTGATTTAATTCGCATCTGAGGAATAAGAAATTAAATAATATATGGCATTATTAAATGTTTTACCTATTACCTGTCTACTTCGTGCCATGATGCACATAAGGCAGTGACACTCATTATGTCCCTGGCTGCTGTTGTAGCCACATTCCATGTTGACCACCCCCCGCTTTCTCTCTTTCTTTGAGCACAGTGTGTCTTCACGTTGTTTTAGGCCTACCTCTTCTTCTCTTGCCTTCTGGCTCCCATGTCATTGCCGTCATGCAATTTTCATCATGATTTCTGCGAAGTATGTGTCTTATGTGTTTTGTACTAAAGAATTTTTAAGTACAGTATGATTTTGTTGATCTTTTGTTTACCTCTATATAATATGCTGGGATGATCTGCAATAGTTTTTACATTCCAGAATAAATGCAAATTTGCAACACTGATTTTGGATGTAAAAAAACTAACCAATGGCATGACAGAGAATGTATTTCCAGTTTCCAGGTATTGGCTATAATTTATGGTAATTTACTACAGTACATTGGTAGTATTTGTCTATCTTGCAAAGGACTATCAAGTCTAATGTCAATTTGATTATTAGAGAAAGGAAATTTATGCAGTATTGTTCCGACATGTTGTAACCTGAAGAAGTTCACAGCATGAACAAAAGCTTGTGTTGTGTACACAATAAAATATTTGTCAGTCTTAAAAGTGCTGCATAGATCTGTCTTTACTGTTTACATTAATTATGCATTATATAACCTGACTGCAATTTAAGGTTATGGTCAAACAGCTCAATCAATCAACAACTCGGATTCGTATAAAACCGTTGAAACAATATCAACGTCGACATTTTATTAAGAAAGAGTCAGGACCCACACCAGACTGTAAAATAAGGCCTGCGCAGGAGTATACTTCTAGCTAGAAATCCGTCTTATAAGGGCTTATTTTGAAACATTGCAGACATTTAGGCCTTGGTCTGTCACAATATATAACCAATGTATTAAGTATTATTTACGATTGCAAACATATTTGTCAGCAAAAATATGAATTTGTTGTTTTTTATGTATCTGCCATGTAAATATATCAGGCCTAGGCCTACTACTATCTAGTACTTACTTACAGTATATAATAGTCACTTAACCTAGCCTAGTGCAATTAGATAGGCTTAATTAGTCTATCCAATCATTAGTTACTAAGATAGGCATAGCTGTAGCTAGCCAAGGCTTTAGGCTATAGAATATCTTATTAGGCCTAGGATAGGCCTATATACCTTTTCTTTTAATTTCTAGGCCAGCCTATCATAGTAGGCCTAGCTAGGCTAGTCAAAAGCCCTCCTCCAGCCAGGACTTTCTAGATGTATATTGCGTAGTATAGTAGTAGCCTAGGCCTACGCGTTGTTTATATTTAAACTTTAGTTAGCTAAGTCAAGTACCATACGTCGTCGCTCATCATACTGTACACTCTACATAGAATGATGTCACTAGGCCTACCTTCTTCTTCTACTACCAACGCAGACACGCCTAGCCTAGTTTAGGCCTAAACAGCAGTACACACCCGTGCTTGAACCGCTGATCACTTTCACTCTCTCACACACGATGGGTGGGGAAAAGCTCATTAACAAAACACATACAAAATGTATAAAAAGGATACCTACCGGGTATCTTAAGTTAACAGTTTCAGCTCAATTTATTTCTGCATTCTGCCTATTAGTAGTAAAGAAAGTTTTAAAGATATTATTGAGAAAATTGTTGATTCACATGGCAAATCTAAGCGCATGGTACTCAACTGAAAACTCACCGCAGTTTTCCTGAAGTCCTCAACAAGCAAGAGGTGGCTTGCTCAGCAGGTGAACTTCGTTTTTCACTGAACAGCGCCCCCAATAATTAAAGATATTTTCAATACAAATTTTAATTACTGTAATCAAATAATTTACTAAAATGTACTAATACACATCGAAACAGCTAAATTTTCACAAATTTCAGATTTTTAAAAAGCAATATTATATAATCAATAATAATTATGATAAGATAATGGTAATGATAATTAGTGATAAATGAAGGTGATGATGATGATGATGAAAATGGTGCTGATGATAATGTCGATGATGACGACGTAAGAGGATGATGATAATAACAATAATAAACAATAATAATAATAAAAATAACAACAACAATGATAATAATAATAATATTAAAAATATGATCAATAATAATAACAACAAAAATAATAATAATAAAATACCGGTAATGGTAATAATAATAACAACAACAACAACAACAACAACAACAACAACTACAACAACAACAACAACAACAACAATAATAATAATATAATAATAAATACTTATTTACTTAAATACTAATCGTCTTCTGATGCAGCTTTTGTTTCTACTGCCCGGGGGGTGTGGGCAGTAGACACTTTGTTATCGTCTGGCTAATGACCTTGGTAAGAGTAATCCGGTGGAGGAATGATAGGATGGGTCATGAGCTAAATAAAAATGGAAAGTAAATTTACGAAATATACATGCTAGATAAGACCTATCCAGTTAAGTTATCAAGTGAACTACCAATACAGAAAGCTGCTAGATACGATCTATATTTGAGGCATATTTATTCAAGATTCAATATTTAAAAAAACATACATAGCAGCAACAAGGCTGAAATGGGTATGGATTTTCGAAGGTAAAATATTAAAATGGTAGAGAAAACCTGTCCTAGAAAGTTCACTAAAAAGTCACAACAATCTGGTATATGCCTACTTTTAATCTGGTATATACTTGTAAAGTTATTCAAGTGAATTTCAAACACAGAAAACATGGATGAGTTAAAAGCAGCCAAAAAACAAAAACAAAACAAAACAAAACATACCAAAATAAAAAACATGTCAAGCAGCAGTAGACACGCCTATCTTTTTGCAAGATCGCAAGCATTCCTCTGGTGTAGCGCCCTCTATTTGCTTTCTCCGAATTATACGACTAGTTTGTGGTGTTAGGTTTCGCAGTAACCCTATTATGAATTTTAGTTTAGAATGTCATTAAAATCTCTGTTGTTTTCTACTCATTACTGAGCTATAACTTAATATATAGGCCTACTTCAATACCTTCATTCTATAAAAAAAATGTTTTATGATTAGTAAGATATATTGTTTGTACACCTGTGACGTGTATTTCCTATTTGGGTGTTTTCATGTGTTTTTTTAGTTTTTCTTTTTGATTAGGACTACTTTATTTCTTACGATCTAAGGTTAGTTTCACTTCTTATCCGTTGCTCATTTTTGAGTAGTTATTAAGCAATACCGTTTTCCCTTCTTTGTTGGGGCCCTAGCCAAATCTCTACTTTTTTTATTGGTAGAAACACAGCCTGTTTCGAAAATACTTCAATAATATAGACAAAAGAAAACAAGACCATTAACTCAAGCAATCAGCCAGACGACGAGATATATGACAACTAGAAGATTACATCACAAAAGTTAAAAGTCAATGCATTCAGTGATTGTTTATAGGCAGCTATAAAATAAAAAATAACCTCAGTCCCATCATGGTTTTAGAATATGTCACATCTAGACGCCCAGATACCACCCTCAAACAAATTTCGGAAAGTCTTCCGGTGAGAATTAAAAATGTTAACTTTGAATATATCAAACATCTGGTTTGAAAAAAATTTACCTACCTACCGACTCCCCCTTCCCAATAAAAAAAAACAAAACACAAAAACAAAAAACCCGTTAGCGTTTTTCTAACATTAAAATATTATCAGCATTTAAATGTCAACATAATTATTGTTCAATATTGATTTTGTTTGAAAGCAAATTTAGTACAATTAATATCATGTTTGGTTGATGTCAATAATAAAATGACTAAATACAGCTGTATTCAAATGTAACACGTACTATTTGAGTGATTAACGATGCTCAGATAACTCCGTCAGGGCCTTTATAGGTGGCAAATAATTTCGCTGTTAAAGGAACTTCTCCGAAAATGATAGATGTGCCGACACTGCTCACAAATATTGGCCAATTTTCTTTTTCTAACTGTACACATTAATGCCAAACATATATTAATGCTATCCTCCTACAATTTTTCTTTGGCCTTCTTGGTTTACGTTGATCCATCTATTTAAAACAATGAGTCTATTATTTGACAATTCTATTATACTTGCCACTTAGTTATAGATAATGCCGATTCGACGGTGGAAATTGTCTATCTTTATTAATCACAAAACACAACTCAAAAGGTAGAAGCCAGGTGAAAAATAATCAATTAGTAAATATGACCTAAAATTGTTATTAAATAACATTAACTTATATTGAATAAATAAACAATGATCATTAATTACGTTTCATCCTTTGTTGATTTAAAGGGAAAAGAAGTACATGCAATGAATGGAACTTCCGTTAATTCTTTCGGCACTGCTCCTACAATCAAATTCAACCGATGTTCTGTCTGCACTCCATATGTCGAAAGTGACATCATGACCAAAGATCAAGACGATTTCACTAAACCCAGACATACTTGACGTCATTGCCGACTGCAAATACCTCAATATTTTATAGCGGAAAGTTTGCATCCAGTTCATCTTTATTGTCTTTCATTTCACTCAGTGTCGCCTCACGCGGTCTTGAATCGATCTTATTACGTAAATCGACATCATTCTTGACAATGGATGTTGTCATTTTTCCAGAAGACATGGTACATCTTGATGATTTGCTACCTAACGGTGTTCCTTTGTTGTCGCTTGATGTTCTGCATCCATTGATGCGCGACGGTACACAGGTAATGACGTAGTACATAATGTTAGATCGTTTTGTCAGTACAATTAATTATTACGGAATGTAAGCACCGTACAGATCTACTAATTAATATAACTGAAAAAATACATAATAATTAGGCCTATATAATCATAACATGATTATGATGTAGGTAGTATACGTCTATAATAGGAAGTGGTATCGCCTACTTTCTTTCTTTGCGTTCTAATAATATACCGTAATGAAATACAAAAAAATGCTTCATAGTATGTTTAAATCAAGTTGTGTGGTTTGTTTAGGTTAAGCTCGGCAAAGGAGCATTCGGCGAAGTATTGCTTTATCATCTTGGTGGACCTACTGGTGAACTAGCAGCTGTAAAAACCTGTAGATTAGCAGATACTGGGGAGAAAATGGAAAGATTAACTGACAAACTTCAAGTTAGTCTGGAAGCCAGAGCTCAGATGTTGTTGCATGCAGAAAGGAACGACGTGTTCCCACGGGTTTTCGGTACATGTACCTTCGGCTCCAGTGACGGGATCATAATGGAATTTATTGGCGATCCTCTAAGTTTTCAATCTGTAACATTGTTCGACGCCATTACTCACAACACCGTGGAACTTTCTGTAACTGATGGACTCCATATTGCACTGGATCTCGCGAAAGGAACCCAGACGATGCAAATGTTTGGCTTGATTCATAACGATTTAGCAAGTAGGAACGTACTTCTCTACAAGCATGACTCTCACTGGGCGGCAAAAATCACCGACTTTGGTTGTGTCTGTGCAGCATCAGCTCCATATGACTTCTTCAGACTGAACAATACTCCGGCAGCTGAGAGAAAAAAGCTGATTACTAAACATCGTGAATTCGCACCAGAGCTGTTCTATCCAGAATCACCACCAAGCTTTGCGTCTGATGTATATAGCATTGGAGTCATAATTGCCAACATTGGCCGTCATGTTGACTCGAAACTTTTAGTGTGTATCGGTCAATTATGCTCCTCTGCAGATCCGAGAGAAAGACCAAATATAGATGATATTGTAGATAACTTGGTTTCCAGAATATCATAATAAAGACGTGTATACTTGTCTCTTATACACATCTAGATGTGTATAAGAGACAGCTTTGTTATCGTCTGGCTAATGACCTTGGTAAGAGTAATCCGGTGGAGGAATGATAGGATGGGTCATGAGCTAAATAAAAATGGAAAGTAAATTTACGAAATATACATGCTAGATAAGACCTATCCAGTTAAGTTATCAAGTGAACTACCAATACAGAAAGCTGCTAGATACGATCTATATTTGAGGCATATTGCTCCTTCTATATCTAATGTAGCCTGTATACATATATATGCAACTATGAGCATAACTATAATTATAACTGTAATGGTGTAATAGATGCAAAAGAGAATTTGATGTTATTGAGGTTACATTTGCAGAATTTGATATTGAAGAAGCACCAAATTGTATCTATGATTACATGAATGTTTTTAATTTCGTTATATAATATTAGCACAGCAATTTTTATTTCATATTAAACATTTCATTCAGAAAAGACTGCACAAAAAGACCGCTAAAATGTTGTGACGCTGCTCACTTCTGATGCATCGAAATTGGTTGCTCCTGAATTGGACTACTTAAAAAGAATTGTGAATAAGCTTTTAACGTTTTCTCAATTGGAAACATACATGCCAATTTCCTTTAAACTTCAAAGAAGATACTTTTCATTTCAAAGTGAATATTTTACCGGCCAGAACTTTAACTTTCTTGGCCTTAGGAGGGCGTCCTCACTAATCGTCGCTAAAATGCTTAAACGAAAATGTTCATCTTAATTTGGTTTTTATTTTGAGAATATTTTCCTTGCAGACCACACATAGTGTAGACGGAAAATTGGCATCGTTAAATTATTGTGGCTTAAAGGCAATAATATGGTCCTTCAGTTTACTGGTGGAATCACATACTTGTTTCACAGTGATGACTCGACCACTAAGGGATACCATCCGACGTACAGAATCATCAAGGATCGTTGAAAGAGATCAGTGCAGAAGAAACACAAGTCAAACAATCTTGGAGAATTTCCTAACGCAGATGCAGACATTGTGATCAATAGATTTGTACCAGAAGTCGTCACCGTCCAGTTATCCACAAAAAAGCAGAAATTGATCCGTAGATCATGGAACCAGAATTTGTTACTGTCCACTTAGTTCCAGAAGAAGACTAAAATGATTAATTACATCTGAAATTGACATTATGTGCAATCCTGTTTCCCTAAGACATCAAGAATATCTTTTAATCTACCAATTCGTTCTTATTAATGTTCACTGTAATATTACGATAATGATTAACATGATTATATTTATTAAATTTCTCCGTATGTATTCGCAAATTGTAATTTTGATTAGGGTTGCCTATATATTTTGAATAAAGTTTGAAGATTAAAATAAATTTTAAAAGTATTTTGTCATTTGAAGTAATATACGAATTGCCTACGTTTTTCAAACCAAACATAGTAAGTCTACTTTTCTTTATTGTAAACCTAGAGCTACGAACACACACAAAGCAGGAATTTTATACATCTAGGCCTAATTAGAAAGTTAAAAATTACAAACATGAACACGACAGCAGAAGAGCACGACCAGGCGCGTAAATATATGATCAAAGAAGGGGCATTAAACTTCTCGGAGTGGGCTAAGTACCACAAAGATTGCATCCACCTCAATCCCACCATGACTTAAAAACAGCACTCATAAACTTTTGAAAAGTTGTGGTGTCTTAATGTCTTAATAATAACAGTAAGACTAACGTTCAATTTTAATACATCAAATACTTAGGAGAGAATGGCAAATATCAGGAGATTCTACAACCATCTTGTCCCCACCATGGTTGGGGCTGGAGTTAATTTGACATTATGTCGTTCTATGTTAGAGTATAGTAGATCAAATAACTTTCGTACACCTATGCTGGAAATAGAGAGGATGAATACTAGGCGTGGCAACGACAAGAATGGTATGTGCCAATTTCAAATCAAACAATTAGGCTATGGGCCTGGCAACGACAAGAATGGTATGTGAATTTAGCGTTGGTAGTGGAGGAATAAAAACACAATACTAGAAAATTGAGGATGGGCGGTGGCCATGCCTTAAAGTTTGTACAAACTTACTTTGGTCTCCATCCACACACTTATTTATCAGATTTCTAATTAACAGTATATATGATTTTTTTTTTTAAAACTTTTGTAATATTAGTTAAGTTTGCATTCATTGTACTTTTAATGTTGTGTGTGGAAGGAAAACCAATAAAACAACAAACAAGATATTTAATTGATAAGCGTACAAAACAGTATTAATTCAATAATTGCCAAGTAAAATGTGAAGTTTTCTAGGCCTGTATATAAAGTGGGTGAGGTGGTGCGATGCACCCCACAACATTTGAAAAGGTCCACGTTTTCATGACAGTCAAGAATGCATTGTGATCGTGTACAGATTCATGTGTATGTAATAATGAATTGAAAATTCTTGATAGAAATTTGAATGGTATTTGTACATAAATATAGCAGTTTCTTTTAAATAATTGATATTATTGAGCACTACTGCAGTGGATTTGTGGGCTTTATAAATATTATTATTATTATTATTATTATTATTATTATTATTATTATTATTATTATTATTATTATTATTATTATTATTATTATTGAATGATAATGCCTCACCAAGGTACATGCCAAGGAATTTTGCAACATTTGATCGTTCAATTTTCTTATTAATAATATTTAACTCAGGAGAAGATAGATCAACTGGCTTGTGATTGAAAAAAATTTAAAAAAATAATTTGTTTTACTGACATTTAAAGTAAGTTGATTTGATTTGATTCAATTTGATATTATTTTTTTTTCAGATTGCAGTTCATAATTTGGAAGGCTCGATCAATGTTCTTATGACTACAGAGCACAGTAGTATCATCTGCAAATATAATATATTCAATATTGTCATCTACATAACTAATATCATTGATATAAATTTAAAAAATGCAGCAGTATACAGTAAGAGTATAGATCCTTGTGGAACTCCACATTTTACAAGCTTCTTTTTCGAAGCGTTACCATCAATACAAACAATTTAATTGTAGACCTCTAATTCCATAGTGTCTCAATTTGTCTAATAATATTCTGTGATTGATTAGGCCTATACCAAATGCTGTAGTTAAATCAGGAAATACTCCACTCTTTATGTTCAATAGTCGACGTAATCTTTTCAACAGAGTAAAGAAGGGCATGTTTAGTTGAGTAATGTTGTCGAAAACCGAAAGGTAATATATTTTGTTTGGCTATATACCACCCTTCCAAAACTTTGTATAAAGTTGGTACATATTTATATTTATTGTACTAATAGGTCAATGTTTATCATTAAATTTTTAACTAAAATTAAACAAAATTATTTGTCTTTTTTAATAACATTGATGTCGGTTTATTTGACTTATTTGAATATAGATTAGTCACAGAGGTATTGGAATTGACAAAGCAACGGATATGACTTGATTAAAAGAGCTGAAGTACAGTAGTACTGAAGATGATACGGATCACTGTAACGATGACGATACTGATGATAGAACGGTGGTGACATGTAGTCATTATAATAGTATTGATGATATTGATGATAAATTTAGCATGATGTACATTATGATTATTGGTTGGTACTGCCAAAGAAAAACTTACCACAAAGGCTAATCTGATAACCACCTAGAGCGAGTTAATCGTGTCAGACCGCATCAGACTACAGGAATTTATCATTGATAACCGTTCATGACTCGAGCGCATCCCGGATTATTCCATAGTTATGTAGTCAACGTGCCGGAAATACTGATTAGTGTATTTGATGAATCTTGGATTAGTAATACAAAGGAGTGTACAACGGATATATGAATGAGGTGCTGTAAAAAGCAATGTACAATCCTATTCACAAATATACCAATAGCCAAGTGGGTTCACATTATATTTTTTATAATGTTTATTGTGAATCCTATTTTCTCCCTTGATATTCAATAGAAAGTAGGCCTATATGTTAATGTTAATTACATTTTGGGTCCTATAAAAAAAAATTATAACATTTAGTTAAAAAATGTTTTTTTAATGGTCAAAATATGATTTCACTTTAGAAATAAATCGAAACTAATTATGTACAGACAATTTACTACAAAACAATCTTTTTATCTATTAGGCCCACTAATAAACCGATAAAAGAATCTATTAAGCATATGAGAATGGTAATATATTTGTAATCGTCTCTTAATAGGTGATGAAATAATTTTTTTCGTTGTGATGTTCAAGATAATCTTAATGGTTTAATATATACCAAACAAGTCAGTGGCAGATTTAAAGGGGGGAGGGAAAAATTAAATGGAGAAAGGGGAAAAAGGTTTTTGAAATTTAGGTCTGAGAGTGCCATTTCCGGCTATCTAAAGGTGCCATAATCAAAAAATGTTCTTAGTTTAGACTCTCCATCTGTGAAAGTCCCCCTGGACCTCCTCCAGCAGCGAATTCAAGGGGGTCCAGCCGGCTGTCCCACCCCCTAAATTTTTCTAAATAAAACAAATGAGGAAAAAAAAAGAAAATTCTACTCAAATTGTGAGTCTAAGAGCCTGCCATTTCTGACCATCTAGAGTTGCCATAATCCTAAGTTTTCGTACCTCAGCCCCACCTTGGTGATATAGACCCTCCATCTGTGAAAGTCCCCCCCCCCCCCGATGCCCACTATTTCCAATTCCTGGATCCGCCACTGCAAGTGATTTAAAAAAAAAAGGTTTTTATTGCTCAACACAGACAGGAAATATCTATGGATTGATGATCTTGTAACAGTATTTTGCAAGTACACCAACAATACAACTTTAATACACCTATACTTCTATTGGCATGACCTCATAAGGACGCACGCCATCCAACTACTCCAATGGAATAGTTGAATTGCAAAGGAAACCATAGAGATTATTAAGGGATACTGTGGGGTATGATGTCTCCTGGATAATAGTTTGAACTTTACCTATAGAAACCCACAGAAGTGCTCATCTGGTTTCTTTGAACCATAATCGTGATGATATCATTATTCGACCGTTGCACTGACTCATCTTAACTTAAGCCATATAGGGTAAAAGCAAAATCAAATTTTGCACTAAAAAGGTATGGTTCCGGTAGAGGGTATTTGATGAATGTTCCTACGTCCCATTGCGCGTCCGCCTGTCAGTGTTATAAATTTCAATAAACTGAGCTTTTTAAAGACATATAGGCAGATCTCACAATAATTTTTATCATTAAAATAATTATAATTATGAGTCATCAATCGCTTCATTCGAAGTATGGTATATAATGTACGAATTCCTGAATAATTATTTTCATATAAATATTATGTTTCGTATAATTGCATTGGAGTATCGTATATGTATGATATATTAAATTATGTTTTATATTAGTATCAACTACTGCATGGCCTGTGTTATTCGACAGCTGATTCCGAAACGAAACAAAATAGTTGAAGGTATCATAAGGAAGAAGAAATACATATACAAACTATAAGGCACAGGTACAGACAAAGAAAAGAGAAAAGATAATATTGAATTAATTCACGCAGCCATGGTTACACACACACACACACACCCCGCACACCCCCACACATACACCCACCCGCACACAAACCCCCACACACACATTAAGCCGGGTACTCACTGCGCCGTACGACCGTCACACGACGAATGCAACTACGCTCCGTGAACGCTAAACGACGCGACGCCGTCTGCTGATTGTCGGTGGTTGTCTTAACTGATCGTCATTAAAAACGATCAGTTGCGCACACGTCGTCGTGTTGCGTTCTTCCGACGACCGACGACCGTCGGGTGTAGTGAGTGCCCGGCTTTAGGCTGCAAAATCTTGAGCATGATGTTGAAGGCGGCAGCATGCACAAAGAAAAAGACGAATAAAAATACGAAAAAGGTTAAGGAGAAGGACCATATTATGGTAATTATCAGGAGAAATGTAGTAGGGATAAGAAAATTGCATAGGCCTATTCAACGTCCGTGAATTGACCCAACCGTTGGCTTACTCGAATTATCGACTGCCAAGGTTGAACTCTTAAGCTGACCACCTCCCGGTCATCTCACTCTACTATTATAAAGTACATATAGGTTCACTATAATTATATAATTGTATCGATATACTTGCTGCAATAATGATCAATATGGTTTATTTATATATTCCGTTCACACACCGGGACCATGGGAATGAAATTTAATCCCATACAATATATAAAGGAATTAACATTCTCGTTTATATAATGATATAATTCATCAGTCACAACTGATCGTCTGTCCATATGTTCATCATACAACAGCATATCCCACTATTAATCTAAAATAATATTGTATTTGTTGAGCTAAAAATAATTATTTGATTTAATTACTGGTTATTTATAATTAATATGACCTAACACTTTAATTCGTTAATTACCTTTTACGAATAAAAAATTCCGTTCCTCATTATAATGATTTTCTTTTTATTAAATTTTATTTCTTATACAATTCTATTTTGCATTTTTAAGTAACTTATTGGCATTGAATTCAGTGGCGTATCTACGGGGGGGGGGGAGCGGGGAGCACCCCCAAACAATTACTCGCGCCCCTCAGTCGCCCCCCACCAAATGAAGGTCAAGTAGTTAAAAATCACCTTATTTTGCGAATTAGCACCCCTCAACTGATCATCGAGCTCCCCCACTTCACCCCCCCCCCCCGTGAGCCCTCCACCTCCCATGTCAAGACTTCTAGATACGGTACGCCACTGACTGAATTAAACAAGAATTACCCCAGGTAGACATAAACAATACCGTTTCTAGTGCAAAACTAAAGCATTGTCCACAATGTCAAATTTTATGTGACAAACAACTCTGATATTCATATATTTGGGTGTAATATGACATCATCATGCCCATATATGGGCACCTCACTCACAATTGTGAGTTTAAAAAGTCTAAAAAATATGTCTCATTGGAAATTTATAACTTTCTGTATCTCATCCATTAGATTCATTTGATTAGATTGTCCATATCTTACCACATTAACACTTTCTACTAAATGATTTCTATCATTAGTTACTTTATCTAAACATATGCTCATCGCAAATCAGCACATCACCACGATTAATGTAGCCTAATATTCTTTAAGAATATTAAAAATACATACTTTATTCGACTTTATATAGAAAACTAATTTTACGCTGACCTTCTGTATGTGATAATTGGTCAGTTGCTCAGTTCATCGTACTCGTGGGCTGGATTATCAACGCACACGCTTATTGGAGGTTAAAACGGAAGTTGACGAAAGATGTCCTCACCTCTCATGCCGCTGCAAATATAAACGCCACCTCTTTTCAAAATTCTAGAGTAGAATTTCGAAGGCAGAATTATTAACACACTGTAACAGCAAAAAATTGAAGAAGATGCAGGGAGCATTAATACTAGTACTGTCTACATTCATCTTAAGAGGGTCAAGTTTTAAGGTAAATAGTTCACTTAGTGTGTATAAGCTGTTATGTAATGTCGCATATATATAGGTCTAAATAAATAAATATAATATATAGACCT